CTATGCTTACACTTTAACTCCAAGCCATACACTTCATGTCATTTGCAATCCAAATTGATATCTCTAAAGTACCTAACATATCTTCCATAAAATGAAGCTGGGCTCATTCACTAAGAAAAGATGACTGCTGGTATGTCAACCTATTTCAAAATAAACACTAGAATACCCAAGAGTAAACAGAGAAGCTGACTGGGACAGTGTTTGGTACTGTCATGACCTTGTTTCTTCATAGCAATTATCTCTGATAAAGAGAAATATTAGTACAACGATACTCCTAGACACTTTTTGGAAAAAGCATTGAATTTGTTTTTTATCCCAAGATTGATATGGGGGTAATTATACATAACCAAATAAATCTCTCAGTGAAAAACTTGCCAACTAATAAATTAAAAATCTCAGCATCTTTTTAAAAAATATATATTTTATTGATTTTGTACAGAGAGAAAGGGAGAGAGATAGAGAAAAACATCAATGAGAGAGAGTCATCGATCAGCTGCCTCTTGCACACCCCCTACTGGGGATATGCCCACAACCAAGGCACATGCCTTTGACCAGAATCGAACCCGGGTCCCTTCAGTTCCCAAGCCGACGGTCTATCCATTGAGCCAAACCGGTTTCGGCAAATCTTAGCATCTTTGACTTTGGATCAGATTCCATTTTTCAGAGCTAGTTGCTAGTCTAGACTAGGGTGGGGAACTTTTTTTCTGCCAATGGCCATTTGGATATTTATAACATCATTTGAAGGCCATACAAAATTATCAAGTTAAAAATTAGCCTGCTATATTTGGTCAAACATTTAATTAACTCACCTCTAATGCCTTGGCAGGGCCAGACCAAATGATTTATCAGGCTGGACATTCCCTACCCCTAGACTAGAGAAAGCCTTTTGAGCCAAATATTATGTCACTTTAACATCTGTTTTCTGATTGGCTAAGTTCACAAAAAAGTAGCGCCTGAAAAACTTTACACCTCAACTTGCTAATCAAATACTGAAATTATTTCTGATAGCTTGGCTCTCAAACTCGCTTTGCTTCTCAGCTACATTCCAGAACGAAAGACTAGCTCTTGGTAAATGATTGATTTCTTCTGCTTCAGTTCAGTGAAGTGGCACAAGGGTATGAGCCAGTTCTTCCCCACCCCCAACCATCTCTGGGTTTCCTACAAAACTCTTTTCATGTAAATCAGACAGAGACTCAACAGGCACATAATGAAGTTATAATGTAATTAGAGGCCTGGTGTACGAAATTAATGCACTTGGGGGAGAGGGGGTGTTCTCAGCACGTCCTGCTTCCTATCGCAGTCCAGGAGCCCTTGAGGGATGTCTGACTGACAGCTTAGGCCTGCTTCGCCTAAGCCATCAGACATCCCTAGCACTGTTGTGGAGGCGAGAGAGGCTCCCGCCACCGCTGCTGTGCTTGCCAGCCATGAGCCCAGCTTCTGGCTGAGCAGGGCTCCCCTGTGGGAGCACACTGATCACCAGGGGACAGCTCCTGCATTGAGTGTCTACTCTCTGGTGGTCAGTGCACATCATAGCAACCAGTCATTCCCCCATTCAGTCAATTTGCATATTAGCCTTTTATCATATAGGATAGGTGAAAAAGCCTGATTTTAATTTACCCCAAGAGAGGAGGAAAAGCTCAAAAGAAAAAAAAATATATTAACATATCCTGAAGCTTTAGCATCCTAAATCTGAAAAGAATTTTGAAAGGCCATTTAGTGGAATTATTTCCAAATGCTGGTTAAGAATTTAGTGCTAATCCCTGACATAATAGTCATTGGTCTAAGAAATATTGAGAAAAATATAGTCAATGTAATAAGTTTTTCATAAAGCTATATTTATTTACTACTTTAAAGAAACCACCCTTTATTCTGAGATTATACTAGTATTTTCCTAGGTTTTTTTTTAGTACCAATTGTTACTCCTTTTAGGAATTCATGGGTAGTTGATTTTAAGTGTTCTTAATTTAGCAGAATACAAAATTACCAACACTATGACAACTCCTACTTTCTTTTTAAGTTTTACTCATTTACTAAAGTCTAGGAAGCACTGAACAACTTATCTAGTGATCACTTACTTACTTAGCTTTTATGTAAAAATAGAAGATCCATTTCACACAGATAAAAATTATAGACATATTTGATAGGGAAATACCGAAGAGACCATGAGGATTTATTCCTAGCAATCCTCAAGGTTTTTCACCAAATTAAATTCTTTCCTACTACTACTTAAGCCCATTTTTGTTTCATTCTGCTTCAGTGAAAATGATTAATAACTACTAACTATTTTCTACCAATCTCAGACCAGTTTTCAAAAAGGTTTTTTTTTTTTCGAAAAGGGTCTTCCTGCTCAAAGAACGAAACTGAAAATCTGGATTCAGAAACTTGGGTATCTTGTTTGTTTAGACCAGGCAACTGGTTCTCTTTCTTTATTATGAAGCTTGGAAAACCTAGGACCTCTTCATCTGCTTGTGCAAACAGGAATGCCCTGCTATTCTCAAGAACCAGCTAGAGGAGAATTTTGAAAACTTTAAACATTTCATCTAAACTGATAAAACTATGAAAGTGAGAGGTAAAAGAAGGGAGGCGAACTTTTACTTTTCAATTGTATGCCCCTCTTTACTCTTTACCTATTTACTGAGAACATATATTAGTTTTATAATTTATACATATCAAATTTTAATACAATACAGACAGCAAATGAGCATATTTAAATGATGTTCAACATCGTAAGTTATTCGGGAACTGCAAATTAAAACAACGAGATACTACTATATCCTTATTAGAATGGCTAAAATCTAAAGCACGGGCACCAATTGCTGATGAAGATACAAAGCAACAGGGACTGACCAAAACCGGTTTGGCTCAGTGGTTAGAGCGTCGGTCTGCGGACTGAAAGATCCCAGGTTCGATTCCAGTGAAGGGCATGTACCTTGGTTGTTGCCGGCACATCCCCAGTAGGGGGTGTGCAAGAGGCAGCTGATCGATGATTCTCTCTTATCGATGTTTCTAACTCTCTATCCCTCTCTCTTCCTCTCTGTAAAAAAATCAATAAAATATTTTTTTTTTTAAAGCAACAGGGACTGTTATTTATTGCTGGTGAGACTGCAAACTGTATACAGTCATGTGTCACTTAATGATGAGACTATGTTTTGAGAAATGTGTCATTAGGTAATCTCACCATTGTGCATACATAGAGTGCACTTACACAAACCCAGATAATCTAACCTCCTACATACCGAGGTTATATGGTATGCTATTGCCTTACGCTGCAAACTTATACAGCATGTGACTGTATTGAATCATGCAGGCAACTATAACACAATGATAAGTATTTGTGTATCTAAACATTAAGAAGGTACAGTAAAAATATAGAAGATTTTTTAAATGGTGTTCCTGCATATGCCATTTATCATGAATGGAGCTTGCAGTACTGGAAGTTGCTCTGGATGAGAGTCAGTGAGTGAGTGGTGAGTGGTGAAAAAATGCGGAGGACTATGACGTTATTGTACACTACTTTATAAATACTTTACCACTTACATTACACTAAATTTATAAAAAATATTTTCTTTCTTCAATAAACTAAACTTAGCTTACTGTACATTTTACTTCATAAACTTTAAAATTTTTCTTAACTTTTTGACTCTTTGTAATAGCACAGCTTAAAACACAAACACATTGTAAAGCTGTACAAACCCTTTTCTTTCTTTATAATCTCATTATATAAAGTGTTTTCTATTGTTAATGGTTTTATTTTTTTATGTTTTAAATATTTAAGACACAAACACACACATTAGCCTAGGCCTACACAGCATCAGGATCATCAATACCACTGTCCTCCATCTCCGTATCTTGTCCCACTGAAGGTCTTCTGGGCATTCATGAAGCTGTCCTCTCCTAGGACAACAATGCCTTCTTCTGGAACACCTGAAGGAGCTGCCTGAGGCTCTTCTTAATGAGGTGTCACTCTTTTCAAATATGCACCCATGGTGGTTTGCTAGGTTTGTTTCTTTTTTCATTATAGATTTGCTTATAAACAGATAATGTACCATTGAATATTCCTCTCTATTAATGAAAAACTTTCAGTGTTGAGGTCTATGTTTTCAAATTCTTTAAGGAGCATGTTGAGGTCTGCAAAAGCTTCTGTTAACCCCTTCATGTGAATTTTCTTGGGAGGAGTCTTTTCTTTCTCTTAGTTTACTTTTTTCTTGACTCTCTTCAGCTATGTGATCCTGTTCCAGTTCCAGTTCCAACAACTCATTAGTCAATTCCTTAGGCGCCACATCCAGGAGCTCCTCAATGTCATCCTCATCCACATCCAGGCTAAAGTTGTTAGCCATCTCGGCTGTAGCCTTGCTATTTCTACAACCTACTATTCCTTGAAAAATCCTTTGAAATCATGGATTACGATGTCACTAAGCAATAGGAATATCTCAGCTCCATTATAATAGTAGGGAACAACATCATATATATAGTCCTTTGTTGCCCAAAGCACCATTGTAGGAAGCACAACTACAGACACTTGGGAAGATAGTTTGGCAGTTTTTTACAAACCTAAACAAAAGCTTACCATAGAATTCAGAAATCATGCTTTTCCCCACAAACAGCTTAAAAACGTATATGCACACAAAACTTACACACAGATGTTTACAGCATGGAACCCATACCTGACTGGTATGGCTTAGTGGCTGAGCTTCCACCCATGAACCCATGAACCAGGAGGTCACAGTTCAATTCCTGATCAGGGCACATGACCAGGTTGTGGGCTCCTTCCCCAGTTTAGGGCATGCAAGAGGCAGCCAAAAAATAATTCTCTCTCATGCCCTACCCATTCTGGCTCAGCAGATAGAGCACATCAGTCTATCTGAGCCACTCCAGCCAGACTATCTGGGTGATTTTAATTATCTTTTTGCTTCTCTGGATTTTTCAAATTTTCTATAATAAATAAGTAATATTTTTACTATGGAAAAACAATAAAAGCTATTGTATCTAGCAGTACTCACCTGTCCAACTGCTTGCAAGTTATAGCAGACAATGTCCTTATTGGCTGTTGAAGTTCCATAGAGAAGTGCTTCAATGAGCCAGCATATCCCCAGGAGGAGGTCAGAGAAACTCAAATAAAAGAGTGGCCTCATCTGTTAAAGAAAAAAAGCCTCATTTTATAAATTATGTTAACAAGGAATTATTTTTATGTTTTACCTTTTTGTAGAAACTGGGCATTGTTTTTCTGGAGCCTCTCCCACTGGTTGACTGTGAGGAATGTAAAGGAATACACCTGGTCAGAGGGAATCTGTTATCACAACTATCCTAACTGTCTGGGAATCAGAGTACTTACAGATTAGCACTGGATCTTGTTCCTCATAGAGACACTCCTTCCTCAAACATAAAATCAAAGTAAAGAATGGGCCCTGGATGGTTTGGCTCAGTGGACAGAGCATCGACCTATGAACTAAAGTGTCCCAGGTTTGATTCAGGTCAAGAGCACATGGCCAGGTTACAGTCTCAATCCCCAGTATAGGGCACACAGGAAGCAGCTGATCAATGATTCTCTCACATCATTGATGTTTCTACTTCTCTCTCCCTCTCCCTTTCTTTCTGAAATTAAAAAAAAAAATGGGCACCACCAATTAAAAATTCAAAGTGCTATAGTTGCACAGCCAGGATCTTCTAACAATAGGAAATCAGTTCAGTATTTAGGGATATGGTTGAAGACCCAAAGAAAATGAAAAGTTTTTTTTCAACCTTAATATTATTAATGTGTATTTTTCTTTTTTTAATTGAAGTATAATTGACTAATAGAACTATAAGATAATTAAAGTGTACAACATGATGATCTGATATACATTGTGAAAGGATTTCCCGAGTTACTTAACATATGCATCATCTCACATATTTACCTTTATTGGGGGCTAAGGAGGATTTAAGTTCTGTTCTCTTAGCAAATTTCAACTATACAATACAGTGTTATCAACTATAGTCAGTCACCATGTTATACATTAGATGCCCAATGCATGAAATCTGTGCAAGAGTAGGCCTTCCTTTCCCCAGCTGCTGGTACTGGCTTCCCTCTCACACCCAGGACGTGGGCTTGCTTCCCTCCTGCCACTCGCAGGCATCCACAATCTGGGCTTCATTCCGATTGCCTGCAGGCACTAAGGACCCAGGCTACACTCCAGCCCCAGCTTAATCCAGAATGATGTCCGGAAGGATGTCCAGTCTAATTAGCATATTACCCTTTTATTATTATAGATATAAAAGCCTAAGTGACTGAATGACTGGTCTCTATGATGCATGCTGACCACAAGGGAGCAGACATTCAATGCAGGAGCTGCCCCCCGTGGTCAATGCACTCCCACAGTGGAGCGCTGCTCACCTTACGGGCACCAGATGCCAGCTCAGGGATAGCAAGTGCAGCTGTGGCGGAGTGAGCCTCTCCTTCCTCCACGGCAGTGCTACCGGGCAGTGGTGACAAATGCAGCAGGGCTGGGATAAGCAGGGGCAGTGTAGGGCTCGGGCTCCTCTCCAGCCGCCTGCCACTTTGTGCACTACTACATCCCTTGGGTGATGTTGGACTGCTGGATCAGGCTGAAACCAGCAGTCTGAAATCCCCCAAGGGGTCCTGGTCTGTGAGAGGGCACAGGCTAAGCTGAGCAACCCCACCAGTGCACAAACCCATGCACTGGGCCTCTAGTTTATCTTATAAATTTCCATATCAATGAAAATATCAGTATAAATTGTATATGTTGACTATGAATTTCTAACCACATTGGTGAAGCCTTTCTCACTTCCTAGTATCGTCTGCTTTTTCCCTGCTCATTTTCTTTTAACTTTATTGTTCAGATTACAGATGGCCCTCTTGTTTTCCCCCATAGCTCCCCTCCACCTGGTTCCCACCCCACCCCACTGTCCCTGTTCATAGGTACTGCATACATGCATATAAGATCTTTGTCCAAATATTGTTATATAAATGAGCAGTGAACTAGTCCTGGAACCTTCTGTTTTTTTATATTAAGCAATTCACTTCTCTTTTCTGGTTCTGTTTACTCATAAGGAAAATAAATTTGTTGGGCTAGATGGAAAAAAAAAAAAAGATCTTTGTCCCATCTCTTCCCACACCCATCTCCCTCACATCCCATTCCCCTGAGAATTGTCAGTCCACTCCATTTCCATGCCCCTGATTCTATTACATTCACCAGTTTATTCTGTTCATCAGGTTTTTTATCCATTTGATTTTTAGATTTACTTGTTGACAGATATGTATTTGTTTACTTTATTATTCATAATTTTTATCTTTTTCTTCTTCTTCCTATTCTTAAAGAATACCCTTCAGCATTTCAGATAACACTGGTTTGGTGGTGATGAACTCCTTTAGTTTTTTCTTATATGTGGAGCTCTTTATCTGACCTCGAGAGCTTTACTGGGTAGAGTGATCTGGTTGTAGGTTCTTGCTATTCATCACTTTGAATATTTATTGCCATTCCCTTCTGGCCTGCATAGTTTCTGTTGAGAAATCAGCTGACAGTCATATGGGTACTCCCTTGTAGGTAACTAACTGCTTTTCTCTTGCTGTTTTTAAGATTCTCTCTTTGTCTTTTGCTCTTGGCATTTTAATTATGATGTGTCTTGGTGTGATCCTCTTTGGATTCCTCTTGTTTGGGGTTCTCTGCGCTTCCTGGGCTTATAAGTCTATTTCTTTCACCAGAAAGGGGAAGTTTTCTGCCATTATTTCATCAAATAGGTTTTTAATATCTTGCTCTCTCTTCTTTTTGGCACCCCCATAATTTGGATGTTGGTACACTTGAAGTTGTCCCAGAAGCTCCTTACACTAACTTCATATTTTTGGATTTTTTCTTTTTGCTCTTCCAGTTGGGTTTTCTGCTTCCTTGTATTTCAAATCTTTGACTTGATTCTTGGGATCCTCTAGTCTACTGCTGAATCTCTGTGTATTATTCTTTATTTCAGTCAGTGTATGCTTAATATCTGACTGGTTCTTTTCCTTTTTTTTTTTTTTTTTTTTTTTTTTTTTTTTTTTTTTTTTTGGCATTCTCACTAAGATCCTTGAAGGTCTAAGTTCCTCAAAGGTCTCACTTAGTTCTCGAAGCTTTCTAGAAGATTCTTGAGTAACCTTATAACTGTAGTTTTGAACTCTATATCCAGTAGTTTGTTTTCTTCCATTTCTTTCATTTGTGACAAGTTTCTTTGTTTCTGGATTTTGGCTGCTTCCCTATATTTGTTTATCTCCAGGCCAATTGGCTGTAAGGACCAGCTGTGTATACAGTGGAAGAGCTGCTGTGCAGGAGACACACTTATAGGTCAGGACTTGCTTCAGTGGGGCTTTGGTGCTCAGTGAGTCTGCAACTTGACTGTGTCTCATATGGATGTGAAGAGCTGTAATCTGGTTTGGCCTCACACTGACCACTGGGTACATTGGCTCTTGGATTTCCAAGGAAATGCAGTCAGCCACTGCCTGGGGCCACCAAGCAGGAGCTACAGAGAGATCTACAGATTCCTTTTCTTTGTATGGGAGTTAGAAGTGCCCAGATGAGGCCCAGCAGTGAAGCAAGACAGGCTGCTGCAGTGCTGGCCTTTGCCTTCTTTAGATAGCTTTGGGGCTCCCTGACCCAGTTGCAGTTTCACAGGTTTTAGGATGAGAAAGGATAGGTCATTCACATGTAAAAGCCACTGCACACAGCTTGGATAGGGTTGTAAATTGGGTGGGGTGGAGTCTCAGGGAATCTCCAAGACAGAGCAAACAGCAATGGCTGCCAAGCAGTCCTGCACCAGAGAGGTCCAACTGCTGCTGCACTCACCTCCATCTGGAAGAAAGCTGCCCCCATGTTCCTGCCCCAATCCCAGACAGTCCAGTTTCTCCCTGTATGTGTCTGGGTCCCCCAAAGTATCACCCGGCACTGCAGCTCAGTACCTCCCTCCTGATTCAAAAGCAGAACCTCAGGTGCCAGCCCCTTCCACACCTCCTCTCCTCTATACCTCCTATTAATCTCAATGCTCTTTCTTCTTTATTTCTTCTTTATTTTTCTAGTTGTAGTTCTTCCACTCAGCCACATTTCCTGTTGTTCTGAATATTAGTTATGTATTTTAGTTATAAATTTGATATGGTTGTGGGAGGCAGCAAGTATAGGTGTTTACCTATGCTGCCATCTTTGTTCCCTCTCCTCTTTTTTTATCTCCCACTCCCACTTTTCTAAAAATAGTTTTGGTCCTTCTACAGAGAAAATTATAAAATATTTATTGATAGACACCAAAGGAAGACACCAGAGTGAAGAAATATAACATGCTCATGGATTATAAGACCCAATGTTATAGAAATGTCAGTTCTCCCTACATTTATATATAGTTAAAATACAATCTCAATTATATTTCAACATATTTTCTTGTGAAATTTAACAAACTGGCTCTAAATCTAACTGACAGATACAAAATATCAAGGTAACCTCTTGAAGAAAAACAAGCAATACACTCAGAGAAATAGAAGAGGGACTTGTCCTACACATATCAAAACTTAAGCCGGAACCAGTTTGGTTCAGTGGATAGAGCATCAGTCTGCGGACTGAAAGGTCCCGGGTTTGATTCCGGTCATGGGCATGTACATTGGTTGAGGGCACATCCCAGGTGGAGGCTGTGCAGGAGGCAGCTGGTCGATGTTTCTCTTTCGATGTTTCTAGCTCTCTATCCCTCTTCCTTCCTCTCTGTAAAAAATCAATAAAATATATATTTTTTTATAAACTTAATATAACGCTAGAGCTCAGATACGGTGGTCTTAAATACAGAGATGAATAAACAGACCAATAAAACAGAATAGAGAGCCCCAAATAAACCCAAGCATATATACAGACTTTAGATATAGAGGTAGCTTTTAGATCAATGGGAAAAAAGATAGTTTTCTCAAAATATGATACTATAACAATATAGGATAATAATAGATATCTATTGGATAAAATTAGAACCTTACTTTTTATCTCACACTCAAAAATCAGTTCCAACTAATTTAAAAGACCGAATTGTCTTTGACTTCTGCTTATGGAAAGTTTTCCTAAACAAAACACAAAAAGTTCAAAATGTAGTAATTGGAAAATTTTACCACATTAAAATAAAATAAATGCATGTGTTAAAATACACCATGAAATGTAAAAATATGCCACAAAGTGGGAGAAGAAGGCCCGGAGCAGCGGCTGCCAGGCTGGGAGCGGCCAGGCCCGGAGCATCCAGGTCTGGTGCGGTCAGGCCTGGAGCAGCGGCTGCCAGGCTGGGAGCGGCCAGGCCCAGAGCAGCAGCAGCCAAGTCCAGAGCAACTAGGTCGGGAGCGGCAGTGACCAGACCCGGAGCAGCTGGTTGTGGAACGAACCAGAGCAACAGAGGCCAGACCCTGAGCAGCCAGGCCCAGAACAGCTCGCTCCTCGCCTGCCCCTGCCCCACGGCTGCCTCTCAGACATGGCTGGAAACTTTCACGGGAATTTGAGGGTCTGCTGAATCAAGTGATGAAGGCTTAGATCTGGATGTGTTGAGTTAGTATAGGGCTGGGGTGTTGATCTGTGAGTGCCTTGGGTGGGGCCTGGATGGGGCTAGTTGACCTATTGGGAAATGTCTTTTGTGTGAAGTGTATCATTGGGCATGTGGAGGTATTATTGATATGAGAAAATGCTAAGTAACTGATTTACTATCTGAAAAGGGATTTACTATCGGGGAAAGGGAGGGAAGAAGAGACTGAACAAAAACTGTGCACCAATGGATGAGGACAATGGGGGATGGGGAGGGGGCGGAGGGTGGGGTGGGAACCTGGTGGAGGGGGGAAGAAATGAGGAACCTTTGTAATAATATGAACAATAAAGATTGATTTAAAAAAAAAAAAGTGGGAGAAGATATTTGCAACATGTATAACTGACAAAGGACCAATATCCAAATAATACTAAAAACAAAGAATTTACAAAGCAATAAGAAAACCCAATAGAAAAAAATGGACAAAAGATATGAACAGGTACTTTAAGAAAAGAGGAAATCCAAATGGCCATAAACACATGAAAATATACCTGACCTCACCAATAATCAAGGAAATAAAAATTAAAAGCACAATGAGGAAAAAAATTATATACAACCATTTGGAAAAGTTTAGCATTATCTGAAAGATATACATATCCTATAACAATTCTGTTATTAGAAAAAGACATTAGGGCCGAAACCAGTTTGGCTCAGTGGACAGTGTCGGCCTGTGGACTGAAAGGTCCTGGGTTCGATTCCGGTCGAGGGCATGTACCTTGGTTGAGGGCACATCCCCAGTAGGGGTTGTACAAGAGGCAGTTGATTGATGATTCTCTCTCATCGATGTTTCTAACTCTCTATCCCTCTCTCTTCCTCTCTGTAAAAAAATCAATAAGATATATTTTAAAAAGAAAAAAAAGAAAAAGACATTAGGGAAATTTTTGCATGTGTGCACTTGAAGACATGTACAAGATTGTTAATAGTAGCACAGATTAATAAACTGTAGTATATTCATGGTATAGAATGCTAAACATTAATGAATATTAAATAAACCAGAGATATATAAAACAGCATGGTTAACTGTCACAAATAATATTAAGGAGAAAAAGGAAATCACAAAACAATACATACAAAAATACCTATGTCAAATGCAAAAACTATCAAAATTAAATTGTTTGGAAATGCATACATTACTGGCAAAATTGTACATAAAAATAAAGAAATAATTATCACAAAAATCTGGGAAGTGCCTAACCAGTTTGGCTCAGTAGATAGGGCAATCGGCCTTTGGAATGAAGGGTCCCAGGTTCGATTCTGGTCAAGGGCATATACCTTGGTTGCAGCACATCCCCAGAAGAGGGTGTACAGGAAGCAGCTGATTGATGTTTCTCTCTCATCGATGTTTCTAACTCTCTATCTTTCTCTCTTCCTCTCTGTAAAAAATTAATAAAATATTTTTTAAAATATGGATAGTGGTTACCTCTAGAAGTGAGGGAGAGAGTTGTGATTGGGAAAAACACAAACAGGTATGCTTAGGGGTAATTTCTATTTCTTGTCCCTAGTGCTTGTTTATAATTATTCTTTTAAGTAGTACATTTATGTTTTATGCATTATAATCCATTGATATTTCGCTCTGTCTTTCCTTCTCTCTTCCACTTTCTCTAAAAGATCAATGGAAAAATATCCTCAGTTGAGGATTAAAAAGCAACAACAAACTAATCTCATCTGTACAAAAGAAAATTTTTCTCATGCCTATATTCAAAATTAGAAGAAAGTTGAGATGCTAGTACTTGCTAACAGGGGTAAATGGTCAAGCTGCCTTATTAAACAAAAACTAGACACTGTCAAAAAATATCTCAATGAATCATGACAAATTTATAAACGAATCATAGAATTATTCCATCATTTATAGGTGGCACCTCTTTTAATTATATCAAAAGCTAAGTCACTAAAATTTCAAATCCAAGACAAAAAGAGACTGCTCACCTCTGGAGATTTCTGTATATTCTGGAATACAGCATAAGCAATAAGTGAACTTGAACCTATAACACTAACATAGATAAAAGATCAATAAAACAGGACAATTGGGGTCCCATCATTTTTACTATTGATTTTTACAGCTTTATTGACATATAATTAATGTAAAATTACCTGCACATATTTAAAAATATAGATTACTTCATGAATTTGTGTGTCATCCTTGTGCAGGGCCTACACTAATCTTCTCTACTTCATTCCAGTTTTTAGTATATGTACTACCAAAACTATTGATTTTTTAAAGTAAATCCTATTGACCAATTTGTTCTTTGATTTTCAGAAGTTAGCCCTCACTCTGTATTTTTTGGTCTTATTGTTGTTGATATTGGTACATTTGATTAATCAGAAAATATCAACATGGTAAAGAACAACATTTCTCTCTAACTACAGGATAAAAGCAAATCCCTACAGAGGGAAATGTAGAAACTTTCAGAATTCTCAAGTTTTTCTTATACTAGTTTAAATAGTCATATCACATGAGATTAAGTAAACGTACCTCAGAGTAGCCATAACAAATTGTATCCACTGTATTGCAAAATAAACCTAAACAAAATGAGAAAATAAAAATAAAACCACGCCTTTTACATTTAATATTCAACCTTATTCCAGTTTCACTGTTTATTAACTATTTGTGCAGAGCATAAACTCTTTTTCAGTGCCTGATCAAAACACACTATAAATCTGAGAATGAGTAGAAAGTCTGAATAGAACCATGGAAAAAGGCAAGGAGGCTTCTTTCTCCCCCCTTACTGCTACACCTCTGGGAAACAGTAAGATAACTAATAGAGAGGTAGACAGAAAGTGACTGAGTGGAAACAAACAAACACAGAGTTAAATGAGAAAATTAATAAAGGGAAGAATAAAATGGAGAAGGGGTAGGAAAAGTTAAATTGTGAGACAGGACATATATATGGGAAGAATGGGTAAAAAAAAAAAAAAAGACAGGCAAACAAATACTAAATAGAGTTGAATGACAGCTAGATAGACAGAGGAAAACAGAATACTAAGCAACAGAGAAATAGAAAAAAAAAGAAAACCATATGGAGAGAGATATTTGAGAGAAAAATACAGAACAGGGAGAAAGAAAGGGGGAGCACAGAAGGAGAGAGCTTCCCCACAGCTTCTAATCTCACCAAGTCCAGATTGTCTGTCAGAATTCTAGCCTCCAGCAGGAAGGCCATAGGGACGTTAGCCCCAGCTATGCTTAAGCAGCCAGATCCTTCTCTGTCAGGTTCTGAATACACAAGTGGTGAACAGGTGACTCCACCCCTACCCCAGCTGGGCTCCTCCCTATCCAATCCTGCCCTGTACCTTGAGGGCAAGGAGAGGTGGCAACAAGTGGAGGAGAAAGCCAAGCAGAAAGAACAAAAATAGAAAAAGCAGGTGACAAGGAAACAAAGTTCTAAAAAAGCGTTAAAATTGTAAGAAGGGGTGAGGCAGGAGTAATAAAAGTAGAAAGAACGAGTCATAGTGAAAAGTTAAACAGAGCTGCAAGAAATGGAACAGAAAAAAGGGAGAGAAAAATAGGGAAGAGAGGTCTGCTTAAAACTTGCCCCTTTTTTATATACAGAAGCCTGTAATGAGAAAAATACACTGGAATGGTATATTAAAGTTTTAGTATTACCAGGAAAAACTGTGGAGAGAAGGAGTTATTAATATCTCATATATTTATTTAATATTAACACCTTCAATATTCTATACCAAAAATCCCTACCAGAAATATATATATCATTAAATTATATGATTCATTTAATATATTTATGTTTACATATCAACTTTGTATAAAGCATTGTGTTATGGAAGATACAAAGACAAAATACAGACCTATACTTATAAAAGTTTTATAATATAGTAGGAAATACAGCTTGAATACCAAAAACCTTAAATTATCTGCACACAAAATCATAAATCCTGATTGGCATTATTTATAAGAATTGGTAAAATTTGGACAAAAATTGGAGAAGGAAACAGAAGGAAGAACATTTATTTTATCTAATGATACTTTTATACATTCTATAAATATTTATTGATAACATAAATTAGATCATTTGCTTGGCTTGAGTAATTTCAACATATGACATTTATTCATATGAGGTTAAGATATAGTGTGGAGTAGATGGGCCATTGTTAAGTGGAGGTAGGCTGTAATCACTTTAAATTATTAGAAAAACAAATAAATGAAAATACCAGTAAATTTCTGGGTCAGAAATCCCTACTATAGTTCTTAGGGAGTGTTCTGCGGCTTCTAATCATATATATCCATGTAATAAGAGTGAGGGGACTAATGACAGTCTCACCAACTGATAAAGGAATGCTTTTGAACAAAGGACTCTTGTCTTAGTTGAGAACAGATCTCAAATTGTTCTGAGAACAGCCATGCGAAATTAGTCTACTGTTCTTGATAGAACTTTTCACTTTTGGCATCTCTTCTAAAATGTCTATGTCATTAGCCAACATGTGGGGATTTACTTTTCCATTTTTCTCTCTAAATTAGTCCCCTGCCTTCTGTATATTCAGCACTGTCTTCCTTTGATATGTCTCTGGAAAAATAATCTTCCCATGTTCTTTTTCTACAAATGCTTAACCAAGCACAAATGATAAAGTGGGTAATATTTATTTTCAATTTTCTTTTCTCTTCCTTTTTTAAAAATTTACTTGAAAAGAGAGGAAGAGGGAAGGGAGAGAGGGAGGGAAAGAGGGTCAGCATGGACTTATAAATAATCATGCCTGCCAAAACTGGTTTGGCTCAGTGGGTAGAGCCAGTAGGGAGGGTGCAAGAGGCAGCTGATTGATGTTTCTCTCTCATCGACGTTTCTAGCTCTCTATCCCTCTTCTCTTCCTCTCTGTAAAAAATCAATAAAATATATATTTTTTTAAAATAATCATGCTTCATTCTCTTTTTGGATAGAATTACTACATATAGTATATATGGTATTTTGACAAAACATTTGATAAGAAATTTGGTGATATAAAAATAAATATAGACCAAGTAGAAGCACAGTTAAGGACATTTCTTAAATAAACCTAAGAGAATGCTAATTTATTGATGAGTATCAATTTAGGAATACCTTCTAGTGGAGTGAACCAGCATTCTGACTTGACCCTACTCTGTAAAACACTCGCATCAATGACTTGAAAGAAAATATAGTAGTAGGCATATTTATGAAGTTGTGTGTGTCACTTACCTACTGCTGCGTAACAAATTTCCACAAATTTAGTGGCTTAAAACACAACCTCACATATACTATGGGTCAGGTGTCCCAGGTTAGCTTAATTGGGTCCTCTGCTTCAGTATCTCTCATACACACACACACACACACACACACACACACACACACACACACACACACACACACACGAGGCTCATCATGACCACACAGGAGGAGCTCGGCATGCAAATGAGTGGGAGGAGACTGCGTCCCACCCCCAGCGGGGAGGCTTGGGCTCCTGCGGTGCGAAATGGAGACACAACACAGGGAAAAGCTGGGCCTGGAGGTGAGCCGAAGCGGAAACACGACACACAGGAGTGCCTGTCCCCCACCTCGGCAGACACAATGCAGCAGCCAGTGATAGTGGGTCAGATAGTGGGCCTCTCACATGGTAGGAGGCAGCTGATTGGCATATTATACCCACCTCTCACATGGTAGGAGGTGGATATAATATGCTAATTAGACCAGATGTCCTTCTGGACAAAGCCGGAGCTGCGAGGAAAGCCTGGGCTCCGGGTGCCTGCCAGTGGCTGGAAGGAAGCCACTGCTAGCAGCCGGGGAAAGGAAAGCCTACTCTTGCACAGACTTCATGCATTGGGCCTCTAGTAAGTTAATAATCTAGATGTTGACTGATTCTCATCTGAATACTCAAATGGGGAAGGCTCTGCTCCCAAGTTCATGTAGTTGTTGGCCTAATTCAGTTCCTTGAGGGTTATTGGTCGGAGGGCCTCAGTTCCCAGCTAACTGTTGGCCAAATGCTACACTCAATTCCTTGCTTGCCCTGTGGACTTGTGCAAGATGTCCTCCTAGGAAGATGGAAGTCACCATCTTATGGAACCAAATCACTGGAGTGACATTCCATCATCTTTTCTGTATTCTATTGATTGTAGATTTTTTTTTTTTTAACACTCAAAAGGATTACAAGAGTGTGAATATCAAGAGGCAGGGGCCATCTTAATGTCTTCCCACTATGTGTACTCTAATATGTCAAGTACTTTTCCAAATCAGGTTATTTGCAATAGCTGTTCCCTCTCTTCCTCCAGATAATCACATGACTGGCTCCTTATCCTTCAAGTATTAGCTCAAATATCATCACCTCACAGATGAACATTTATGAAATTCCACAATATCCGGTTTATTTGTTTGTGTGGCTTATAAAAGCAAGACAAAATACATGAATTGAAAGTGGGACAAAAGGAGAAAAAAAATTTTCTGCTGAAATGACTTGATGCCTGGATGTTAAAATCTGAGTTTCAAAATATTACTCTATTGAATAAAACAATATTTAAAATAACAGAGCATTAGCTGGTTTGGCTCAGTGGATAGAGAGCATTGGCCTGCAGACTGAAGAGTCCTGGGTTCTATTCTGACCAAAGGCACATGCCTGGTTTCAGGCTCAACCCCCAGTGTAGGGTGTGCAGGAGGCAGCTGATCCATGATTCTCTCTCATCATTGATGTTTCCATCTCTCTCACGCACATGCTCTCCCTTCCTCTGACATCAATAAATAATAAGAGAGGCCTGATGCATGAAATTTGTGCATGAGTAGGGTCCCTAGGCCTGGCCAGCAATCAGGGACAATCAGGTTCCCCACCTGCCCCCCTCCTCCTTCCTTCACTCCCAGTGCCTGCTGCTGCTGCTGCTGCTGCTGCTGTTGTTGCTGCTTGTCTACCATATTCCATACCGCCCCCTGGTGGTCAATACACATCATAGCAAGCAATTGAACTCCCAGTCTCCTGGTAGAACTCACTAGGGGACAATTTGCATATTAGCCTTTTATTATATAGGATATACATATTACACACACACACACACACAACAAAAAAAACAAAAAAAAATGACTCCAAATACTTTAACTTAATATGACCCTCTACAACATGCCCTTTAAACACTTATCCGGCTTTCCCCCTTTGCTGTTTGCCTTATAAATGCATCTTCTTTCAAGATCCATCTTAAAAGTCATCCCCTGTCTATAACTTTCCCTAACATCCCAGAACAGGACTGACTGAATCTGCACAAGTATTGCCACAAGGCAGTCTTATTATCTTCCAATGCCATCATCAGTGTTATATCACTATTCCGAGGTCTCCTCCCCGCACACTGACTTCCTTGGGCACAGAGCTCTGTCTCAGTCATCTCTGCATGCCCACAGGCAAACCCGGGATCCGGAGTAAACCAACCGTACCCTGAACAAACACCTGCTGTAGCATTTTTGGGGGCCTAGACGGGAGGGGTACTCAGCTTCCAATAAAACCTGGCGCCTCAGAGTAGGTTCGACTGTGAGACTGGGCAAAGGGCAGGTGACCAAGCCCGGCCTGGCCAAGGGGAGGTGGCCGAGGATGCCTGACTGAGGGGAATACAGAGCCGACCAGTAACTCAAGTCAGAGTGACTGACAGACTAACCGAGGGTAAGGAGTCCATCCCAACCGCCTGCCTGACGGACCGGAGGGGTGGAAGAAATAAGGCCGTGGCGTCGTCATCTTCAGAGACAAGGAAAGACAGCGAACCAAGCGCTGCAAAGACGCCGAAGCGCGCGCCTCGTGCCTCACCTCACGCGGAGAAGGACGGGAAAAGGCGTGGCCGGTTGTGCGCCAACGCGCGTGCGTGCGCGTGCGCGTGCGCGGCAGTCTCTCCCTCCCTCTCTTCCTGGCCCCACCCCCACACGTCGCTCCGCCCTCTCATCCTGGAAAGGCGCGAGCCCCGCGGAGCGCGCGCACGCGCACACACAGCAGCCCAACCTATTTCCCCGCCCCTCACGTGGCCCCTCCCTCTCGTCCTAGGCGGGCGTGAGCCTCAGGGGCGGGGCCTCCCGATCACGTGCTCCCGACCCTGCGCCTTCTCCGCTACAGCCTTACTAGCTCCCACTGCCAGTATCCGGCGCTATGGCTGCCGTTCTCTCCCGCTCCTCTCCCCTCTCCCCACTGCTTCCCTTTTTCTTGTTCCTCCAGCTTCTCTCCGCTCCGCAGGGCAGCAGCGGCCTGCACACCAAGGGCGCCCTTCCCCTGGATACAGTCACTTTCTACAAGGTAACGAGGGCGGGGGACATCGCGGCCGGGGGAGCGCGCACCGTGGTCCTCGGGGCTCCCCACCATCGTATCGGGCTGGTGGACTCTGGGCCGACGCCATAGCATGACCACGGGGGGGAGGGGTGGTCTACAAGCCCCGAGGCCCCTGAGCACCCTCGCCTTTGCAGAATGTTGATTTGCTTCCTCTTTTGTGAAAGATGCAGCTTCCCTTCGCCCATGGGGAGGGGGCGGTGTCAGGAGAGATCCAATCCTGGAGTCCCAAGTGGGAGACCCGGAGGGCGGTGCCAGGCGGGCGCCACCGCACCGGCTGTGGTTGGGCGGCGAGGTAGAAACCAGTCTTGTGAGCTTGCATTTCTGCGCCCCTCTCCCCTTGGCCTGGATTGCAGCCAGCTTTGCAGGATGCAAATAATGTCCAGATAGCCTGCGTCTCCTTGAAAAGTGCAAGCATTAAGATTGAGCTTCGGTTCTATCACCCTACTGGAAATATTGGACAAGGGACAAGGCATAGAAGGATTGCCACTATCCCACCCCCCTGACACCCCCCCCCGCACCCAAGTTTACAGAATTTGGGGTCCTGGCCTGGATAAATGGCCGTTGGAAATATTGAAGGCAGAAGCAGTCTCAACCCCCTCTCCTCTTTCACCTGTCTTCACCCACTGGCAGCCTTCTAATTTGTTTACAAGATGGGCAAACTAAGGGTTTGAGAGAGAGTCCGTCATTTTATTTTCTTAATTTGTACCCATTGCTGGGGAAGTGAAACCTACAAGTGGAGTTCTAAATCCATCTCAAGTGCCTGAACCCTTCCTATTTTCAAAAGGGTTTCTTGCCAAAACCGGTGTGGCTCAGGGGATAGAGCGTCAGCCTGCAGACTGAAGGGTCCCCGGTTCCATTCTGGTCAAAGGCATGTACCTTGATTGCGGGCACATCCCCAATGGGTGGTGTGCAGAAGGCAGTTGATCGATAATTCTCTCTCATCGATGTTTCTAACTATCTCTCTCTCTCTCCCTCTCTGTAAAAAGTTAATAAAATATATATATATATTTTTTTTTAAAAAAAAAAGGGGGAGGTTCTTGTGGGTTTGGCACGTGTGGCCTATTCAAGGCAAAGTTTCAAGAATTTAAAAGTGTAGGTATGGCTAGCTGGTTGTCAGCCCACAACACCCTATGCTTTTGGGACCTTTATTGGCAAAGTGACACTTGTACCGCCAAACATGGGACTGGGATAAAATCACAGACCAAGTGTGACTTAGAGGGAGGCTTTGCGCTGTAAAGGAAACAGTATTTCCTAATCACTTTGCCTCACCATCTTTACTGCTACCACCCTGGTCAATGCAATCATTATAAGAGCCTCCTCTCAGTCCAAGTTGCTTCTCTCGCCTTTAATCTCCTACCATTCTTTTTGTCCCCTCTGCTCCAGCCACACATTTTTTGCTGTTTAAACATGCCTAGCTCGTTACTGCATTAGGGCCTTTGCACTTGTGACTAGAACATTCTTTGAAGAGTGGTTTCTTCTATTCAGACTTAAGTTAAATATTATCTTCTTTATTTTTTTGTTGATTTCAGAGAGGAAGGGAGGAGAAAGACAGAAACATCAAAGATGTGCGAGAATCATTGATCGGCTGCCTCTTGCACGCCCCCAACTGGGGATCCAGCCCCCAACCCAGGCCTGCGCCTTTGGCCGGAATTGAACCGGGGATCCTTCAGTCCTCAAGCCGACTCTATCTACTGAGCTAAACCGGCTAGGGCAAATATTAAGTTCTTAAAGTCCTTCCTTGATTTCCCCACCCCCTGGCCTAAAATGCCAGTCACATCACCCCGTTTGATTAATGTGTAGAGCTCACTCACTGCCTATTTTTTTTTCTTGTCTATTTTATCATTTTCCACACTTAGAATATTGTATGCTTGGGAAGAACTACCTTGCCTATTTGTTCATTTATCATCTGCACAACCTAGCAGGTTACATGTCACATAGAAGATATTCAGTAATAATATGTTGAATGAATAAATTTTTTATCTGGTCCCTTTCTAAATCTCACTCTTCTCATTATTATTGAACAAAAGGGGGGCTTCCTAATGTTATGTCCAGGGCCTTGGCCCATGCTCTGCCTTTAAGTGATTTCCAATGTTTTTGTTTCTTGCCCTTCTCCATCACTAGTGATGAAACCCTGTCCTTTTTCTTCTTTTTTAAAATTCTGTTTTTAAATATATTTTTATTGATCTCAGAGAGGGAGAAATAGAAACATCAATGTTGTATTATATGTTGAAGAAGTTGCCTAAGTATAGGTTATGGTGGAGCCAATTCCTTAAGGATAAAGAAAAGAGAGAGAGTCCTGACTGGTTTGGCTCAGTGGATAGAGTGTAGGCCTGCAGACTGAATGGTCCCAAGTTCGATTCCAGTTAAGGGCATGTACCTTGGTTGCAGGCACATTCCCCAGTTGGGGGTGTGCAGGAGACAGGCAGCTGATCGATGTTTCTCTCATCGATGTTTCTAACTCTCAATCCCTCTCCCTTCCTCTCAAATAAGGATTTCAGAGTGATTAAATACAGCAAAGAAAGTAGAGCAGGGTAAGACATAGAATGTGGTATGAGTGAAAGGGGGGGAACCTCCATTAGGAGGGGTTATATGAACAGAACTTTGAATGCTAAAAAATCAATTTTAAAATTTAAAAATATATTTAAAAAAAAAAAAAAAGAAAGAAAGAAAGAAAGGAGATACCTAAAGCAATTAAGAGGTACAGAATGGGTCAAAAAAATAAGAAAAAAATTTATTGTACAAATGCTTGCCATTCAAAACCATTCTAACAGAAGGTGAAAGTAAAAGATGGAGGCCTCTTAATTCTCTTTAAACAGTAGAGCACTGTGTTAATTTATTCCATATTAATAATATTAATATTATTGTTATTCCATAATACAAATGTAGGCCCCTTGCAGATAGAGATCATGTGTTGTGCTTTTAAAATCATTTTCCCACTGAACATGTAGTGTCTGCTATCAAAGTCTGTCCTAGTTTTGTTCATTTAGCAAATGTTTTCAGAGCATCTGCTATATACAGGTACTGTTGGGCAATAGGGATACAGCAGAAAACAGGTCAGACAAGGTCCTTATTCTCATAAGTACATTCTAGTGGAGAGGACAGACAGACAAGCAAATAAGGATTTCAGAGTGATTAAATACAGCAAAGAAAGTAGAGCAGGGTAAGACATAGAATGTGGTATGAGTGAAAGGGGGGGAACCTCCATTAGGAGGGGTTATATGAACAGAACTTTGAATGCTAGACAATCATAGAAAAAACTAGGGAAAGGGCAACCCAGCCAGAGACAGAAAATGAAAGGGCCCTGAGTGGGAATGAGTTCAATGTATTAAATTGAAATAAGGCTAGCTGGGCCAGAGGGATATGATCTGATTTACATTTTAAGTCTTCCTTGCTTTTAGGCCCCCAGAGCTCAGAATTTTGGGGATCAGTGGCCACTTAAAGATGACCTGTTCTGGTGGCTTCTCCCTCTCCCCTTGTCCCCCTAGGCAGTGTAAAATATTTTTTAAAACCTAAAACTAAACAAGACACCAACACACAATAAGGAACAAAGACTAACAAAAACTGGAGTGATGTCAGCTTGACTTAATTAAGGACAGTGATTGCCTGTGATGAAACACTTGAGGAAATGATCACTTTGATTAGAAAAAATTCTGTTGGAGAAAGAGAAGGCAGTGTTACTGATCAAAGATGGTTTGTTAGATCAAATATATGCATTGGAAGAAACCATCAAAAGAAGTCCTTGGTATCCCTCCATACGTCAAATGTAGAATTACCACATGACCCCTCAGTTCCACTCCTAAGTATATACCCCAAAGAAATGAAGACAAGTATAAAACAAAAATTTGTACGTGAATGTTCCTAACAGATATTCACAAATAGCCAAAAGGTTGAAATATCCCAAATGTCCACCAACTGATGAATGGCTAAGCAAATTGGTCTATTTACACAATGGAATATTTATTTGGCCACAGAAATAAATGAAATATCGATGCATGCTGCATCATGAATTAACTTTGAAAACATGCTAAGTGAAAGAGGGAAGCCACATTGTATAATTCCATCAGAGTAAACAAATCCATAGAGACAAAGTAGATTAGTGGATAATAGGGATTGGGGGGAAGGAGGACTGGGGAATGGCTGCTTAATGGGTATGTGGTTCTGTTTCAGGTTGAAAATGTTCTGGAACTAGATATTAGTGATGATTGCACATTATTGTGGGGAATTTTTTTTAATTTTTTTTTTGCATAGTCGGCAGGATTGCACAACAATGTTAATGTACTAAAAATCCCACTGAATTTTACAATATCCAGTGAAGCGAATTTTACAATTAAAATAAAAATCTTGGTCTAACAGTTTAGTACCTAGAGATCTAGTCAGAGGGAACTGTGGTCTAGGGAAGGGATATTGTCCTGACCCTGGATTCTCAGCCACTTCTCTTGAGCCCTAAAATAGGCTCAAGAGTTCAAACTGTGGGCTCCCTAGCCAAAGTGTCCTCCATGGTGCCAACTCCTTTATAGATGGTTAGTTGGGTTGTTTTTTGTTTGTTTGTTTGTTTGTTTGTTTTATCAGATTTTTTGGTTCAATGTTTCCTGAGAAAGTCCCTCTCTTCCTCCCCCACGTGATGGGCATGACAGGGGCTAATGTACCGTGTGCTAAGGGTCTCCTTGGCTTTACCAAAGGGCCACTGGAGGAGAAGGCCCTAGTACCTCTATAGCTTTGCTTATTCTAGACAGGGTTGTATTTGTCTTTTTTTTTTTTTTTAATCTATTGATTTTTTACAGAGAGGAAGGGAAAGAGATAGAAACATCAATGAGAGAGAAACATTGATCTGCTGCCTCCTGCACACCCCCTACTGGGGATGTGCCCGCAACCAAGGTACATGCCCTTGACTAGAATCGAACCTGGGGCCTTTTAGTCCGCAGGCCGATGCTCTATCCACTGAGCCAACCCGGTTTTGGCTGTATTTGTCTTTGATTTGTGTGAATAAGCATCTAATGGAGTACCCAGCATATAAATTGTTAAATGAATCAATAGGTGAATGAACGAATATTAGTAATTGAGATCTTGTCTCCTTTGTGGGCTTGGTTTCCACTCTGTTTCTTAACTAGGAGTTCACTGGGAAAGGCAGTAAGCCCCGACAATTCCTGGAACCCCCTATCCACTCAATTCTGTACACCTTCAGGTCATTCCCAAAAGCAAGTTCGTCTTGGTGAAGTTTGACACCCAGTACCCCTACGGTGAGAAGCAGGATGAGTTCAAGCGTCTGGCCGAAAACTCAGCCTCCAGTGATGATCTTTTGGTGGCAGAGGTGGGAATTTCAGGTATGAACATGTCCAGGTGACTGGGAAGGGCAGAGGGGGAGGAAGCTAAGAGTTATTTCCCTACTTTTAGAGGGAATGCCCAGCACCTTTCTGAGTCACACACTAAGTAAAAATGGTGTCATGATCTCTCAAGAAACCATGGCAAACTTCTCTTGAGCAGATTCTGTGACCACAGAACTTCTGCTCAGCCTCATGGGTGCCTTAGGGAAGGGAATCCACCATTCCTCACCCTCCAACCTTCACTGACATTAAGTTTACTATGAGAACTTGGAGCTCTTTCGGGGACGGTGGTCAGAGGGGGTACCATGCCTCCTGCGGGACAGCACAGTCCATTCTTCTGTCCTTGCTGCAGCTCAAAACCAGGAGTTGCCACTAAACCAAGGACAGCTGTCAACCTCAGTGACAGCTTTAATAATAATAATAGTGGCCAACAATTAGCAGTTTGCATCTATAGAGACATATAGACATTGCATTTTTAAACTTCCCTTGAATCCCACTTGAAAAGCAAGACATATTGTCTACCTGTTATAATGAAGCTCCAGGCTGTAAGGGAGGACGTGGCTCATCCAGAACATTCCTCCTAACTATTTATTCCCAAGTGCAGTGGGTTCTTCCCTGTTTGCTCCCAGCTGGAATGCCTCAACCCCCACTAAGCTCACACTCCGTTTTATTTTCATCATGGCGCTAATCACTTATGTTCATTTGTTTATCATCTTTCTCTCTCTTAGAAGAATATGAGCTCCTTGAGGTCAGAGAGCTTTATACTCTTAATCACAACTAGATCTCCAGCACTTAGAACAGTACCTGGCACCTAGAGGGCATCTCAGATACTCAGAAGTACCATTTTTCAGATGAGGAAAATGGAGTACAGAGAAGTTAAATGTGGCTTGACTAATGGCACATGGCTAGGAAGTAGCAAGGAGGAATTCAGACACAACCAACATGCCTCTTCCTCTCAGCTCAGATAGTCCTCATAACAATCTTCTGCCCCACATTCCTCATGGTCTTGCTCCTCACATCTGGTTTCTGTTCACAGATTATGGCGACAAGCTGAATATGGAGCTAAGCGAGAAATACAAGTTGGACAAAGAGAACTACCCAATCTTCTACCTCTTCCGGGATGGGGACTTTGAGAACCCAGTCCAATACAGCGGGCCTGTTAAGGTTGGAGCCATCCAGCGCTGGCTAAAGGGGCAAGGGATCTACCTAGGTATGCCTGGTTGCCTGCCTGCATACGATGCCCTTGCTGGGGAGTTCATCAGGGCCTCTGGCGCGGAGGCCCGCCGGGCCCTCTTGAAACGAGGGCAGGACAACCTGGCAAACGTGAAGGAGACTGAGAAGAAGTGGGCTGAACAGTACCTGAAGATCATGGGGAAGGTCTTAGACCAAGGCGAGGACTTCCCAACATCAGAGATGACCCGGATCACCAAGCTGATTGAGAAGAACAAGATGAGCGACGGGAAGAAGGAAGAGCTCCAGAAGAGCTTAAACATCTTGACTGCCTTCCAGAAGAAGGGGGCCGAGAAGGAAGAGCTGTAAAAAGGGACCTTAGGGTTTTCCAGAGTTTGGTGTGGGTGGGGAGGGAAGAGTTTCCTGCTGGCTGTGAGACCTTTCTGGGATGCCCAGACATTGATGCTGATATGACCACGCTTGGAACATCTCTATAGCTAGTCCAGGTACAGCAAAAACACTTACTCAAATGGCTTATGAATTTCCTCAGAAGGAATTGGTGCTATAAAGAATGTACTGCCCACATTCTTGAAAGGTGTAATTCTAATCCAATTAAAGTTTCCATGTTTTGGTTGAGTGGACCTTAAATTATCCTTTGGACTATGACCTGCTTTCTCCTTTGACTTTATTTTTTTAAATATATTTTATTGTTGTTTTTTTTTACAGAGAGGAAGGGTGAGGGATAGAGTTAGAAACATCGATTAGAGGGAAACATCAATCAGCTGCCTCCTGCAACACCCCCTACTGGGGATGTGCCCACAACCAAGGTACATGCCCTTGACTTGAATCAAACATGGGACCCCATCAGCCCGTAGGCCGACACCCTATCCACTGAGCCAAACCGGTTAGGGCTACTTTATTTTCTAATCCTGGCTGGTATGGATTCTACTCTACCAGGGTTACAGACTATCCTGATAACAATGTAGAAGCTGTTCTGTCCCAGTTCAAAGCCTGCCTTGATTACTTTCCTCCAATTTTCAGACTCAAGGTGACTGGTTCTGGGTGGTAAGTTGCATTGTTCACATTTTCTTGTCTTTAAAACTGAATGGCAACATTAATAAACCTCAATGTAATTGTTTTCCATACTTCATAAGATAAATGTAGGAAATTCTTAGTTTTGCTGATATAATCTGATAGAGGGTTTTTTCCTAGATCAATTTTAGATAGCTAAGTAATACAATTCAGTCCAATGTGGGAATTTAAAAGGAAAAGGAATTGTTTGCCATCTAAGTTACTTTCTCACTCTCACAAAGTACCAACTTTTTTTTTTAAAGCAGAGGAAGCTCTGGCCAGATCACTCAGTTGGTTAGAGCCTCATCCAAATATGCCAAGGTTGTGGGTTTGATCCCCGGTCAGGGCACATACAAAAAACTACCAAAGAATGCATAAATAAGTGAAACAACAAATCTATGAGTCTCCCAAATAAAATAAAATTTTAACATAGGGAGGAGCATTATACTAACTTTGAAATTTGTTCTCTGGATGAGTAGTATATGCAATGGTAAAAGTCATTAATATCCCCATTTTTGTTTACTGTTTGAAAATTATCAGACTACCGCTCCTCAAATTGCACCAAAAGATATTAAGTTGAACAAAGGCGGCAAATAAAATTGTTCCTTCATTTTAGCCACATTGGTATTTAAACTCACTGGAAACAAAAATGCAGGAAAACCTATGTGTTGAAGTTGATGGAACAAAAACAATTGTAGCTTAGGCTAACAACTCCATTAAGTAAAACATGCTCAACCTAAATGCCTTCCTATAACCAGTGCAGATACTCTCAACATTGACAAAAGAATATAGCATATAGTTGGCCCAATAATTTCAATATTTTCCTTTCTTAAATTCTAAATGAAAACCTTGAGAGATTTTTTTTTATGCTTTTCAATGGCAAACTTATTTCAGTTTATTCTAATTTGTTTTTTTAATCTACCTAAAACAGTCATTTCCAAAGAACAAAATATTCACTGTCTTACGGAAGACAAATGACTGGTAAAGAACTAAATTTTTCAAACATTCCTGAATGTGGTTTCATCTCAATGTAAAAGGAATAAAGATGGTAACACATCCAAGGGTACTTCATTAGATGGGTCTAATGGATATTATATACCATGAGTATATAATATATATGGATTGTTGTACAGGACTAGACTATCATACATCAGAGGCTCTTTGTATCAAATCTTTTTCACTAAAGATGGGCTTTATTTCTAGTTTAGAATTTGAACAATTTGCATATGCCACATAAAATCCAATCTTCCCTGGCACTTCCTTTCTATTCATTTAATTGAATGATTCCTCCCTTTTACTTCTTTGCATCTCATTAAATAATATGTTGCTCAAATGCTGCTTATCTATAATGAAGGCTATGAACTGGTTTCCCAGAATAACGTAAGTATATATAACTTTTAGGGAATTTCCAGATTACCTGAAGCAAATGAAACCTTGAACCCACTACAATCCCATCCTAGGAAATTTGCAAGTTATCTCAATTATTGCTAAGAATATTTTTAATTTACAAATAGTCCTTGGCATTTGATGCCACAAATGTTGGCATTAGAATCATATCAGGAAAGATTGGTTACTCAGTAGAGAACCAAGACAGAATGGGAATTTGAACAAGGCCATCAGGACTAAGAATGTGAGATGGTGTGTGTGTGTGTCTGGATTTTAGCTAATTTCGTCCAAGCTTCAGATTTTTTTTTTTTTAATGGAAAATGGTTAACTGCAAAATTTATTGTTCATATTATTACAAAGGTTCCTCATTTCTTCCCCCCTCCACCAGGTTCCCACCCCACCCTCCGACCCCTCCCCATCCCCCATTGTCCTCATCCATAGGTGCAGTTTATGTTCAGTCTCTTCTTCCCTCCCTTTCCCCAATAGTAAATCCCTTTTCAGATAGTAAATAAGTTACTTAGCATTTTTTCAAATCAATAATACCTCCACATGCCCAATGATACACTTCACACAAAAGACATTTCCCAATAGGTCCACCAGCCTCATCCAGGCCCCACCCAAGGTACTCACAGATCAACACCCCAGCCTTATACTAACTCAACACATCCAGATCTAAGCCTTCATCACTTGATTCAACAGACCCTCAAGTTCCCACGAAAGTTTCCAGCCGTGTTTGAGAAGCAGCCGTGGGGCAGGGGCAGGCGAGGAGCGAGCTGTTCCGGGCCTGGCTGCTCATGGCCTGGCCCCTGTTGCTCTGGTTCGTTCCACAACCAGCTGCTCCGGGTCTGGTCACTGCCGCTCCCAACCTAATTGCTCTGGACTTGGCAGCCGCTGCTCTGGGCCTGGCCACACCCAACCCGGCTGCTCCGGGCCTGGCCGCTCCCAGCCAGGCAGCCGCTGCTCCGGGCCTGGCCGCACCCGACCCGCCTGCTCCCCTGGGCCTGGCCGCTCCCAGCCTGGCAGCCGCTCAAGCTTCAGATTTTTAATTTTATTCAACCCTTACCTCACTGGGTGGTCTTAAATAATAATCTCATATGCAGTAACTACTTTTCTCATTGTACCTTACCTGGGACCCATTCTAACTGGGATATGTGGAAGCTGGAAGTCACAAAAAAGTTCTGAGCTTCTGAAGCATAAACTCCTAAAGTACGTTAGGCATCCCACAAATAATTTTTATAAGCATTTAGCGCACAGTTGCTTACCTTCCACTTGTATGACATACTGGTACATGTCTGCATTACACAGTGATAGCATCTAAAAAACAGGGAACATGAAAAACAAAAAAACCGAGCCCACCTTTTGGGAAAAATAAAAAATGGCATTAAAATATATCCAAGCATTCACCTTTTTTTTTTAATTTAAAAAAATATATATATTTTATTGATTTTTTCAGAGAGAAGGAGAGGGATAGAGAATCAGAAACGTCGATGAGAGAGAAACATCGACCAGCTGCCTCTTGCACACCCCCCACCAGGGATGTGCCCGCAACCAATATACCGGAATCGAACCTGGGACCCTTCAGTCCACAGACCGACGCTCTACCACTGAGCCAAACCAGTCTCAGCCCAAGCACTCACCTTTTGCTAAAGGAAAATAGTGGGATGGAAGCAGGCAAAAACTGACTTCTCAGGGCTCAAATAGGAGCACTTAATGATCACAGGACAGACAAAAGGGAAACTTGAAGAAAAACAAACATCTGTTTTACACTGTTTGTCAGTGCGGCTGAATAAACTAGGTCTTCACCTGTGGATTCAAGTCCTCTTGGATGTCATGTCAACTTATCTACAAACATCGTTAACTTCCCACCAAATTTGGAATCACATTCCTGCCCCTGGCCAGAGTCCTTATTGTTCTGATCCCCTCTACTCAAACCCTACCTCTCTTTCCATTAAGTTCCAGCTACTTGAGCCCTTTGAACATGCTTAGCTGTTTGCTGCCTTGGGGTCTTTGCATTTGCATTCCTTTCCTATGGCTGACTCTTCCTCATTCCAATCAGATGGCAGCACTCAAAGCATCCTCTCATGACCCAGTGTATCACATACCCCGATTCATTTTATTAAACAACTTAATTATAAGCTAATGTTTCTTGTTACTTAACCCACCTCAACCACTAACTAGGATATACGGTCCCACCATTACATCAGCAGAGCCTAAAATGCGTTGTGGCATGTAGTAAAATAAGTGCACAATATATACATATATTGAATTATTGAATGCTAGCATGCAAGGCACTACTTAAAAAAAAAAAAAAGACTAATGGCCTTGCAAAATAAATTTTAAATTCACAAATATTACAATTTTGTGAGAAACCTAACACTGAGTACAAAATTGAATTAATACCATTTAAAAGGTAGAAAAAAAATAATAAAAGGTAGCTTCTAGGAATCTGAACAAAAATGAACAAGGCAGAAATGCCAACTTAAGTTGTTTATATAAATTAACCCATCCAGTTTAAAGTAGTTTTCCTATGCTTAATTCTGAAAAAGGAAGAATATACTTCCGATTGTAATAAATCACATCAAATAAGTAGGAAGAGTTTCAATAAGAAGGCCGTAGATACACTGAGACCCCTTTTTTATATTAAAAGTTAAAATGAAAGACAAATCCAGATTTAACATAGTGATTGCAAAATATAATGCAATTTGAACAATTAAAATTATGAAAATATACAAAATTGATGGGCAACACAGCTAGGCATTTGTACATTTTTCACTGTTTGGAGAACACTAAAAACTTATCTACCTTTAATCCACGTCAGATAAATGATTTAAACCAAATGTTTGCTTTGAAGAGTTTTAACTTAAGATTCTCAGTAGTATAAAAAAGCAGTAATTTTTCAGTCTGTAAACAGTAGTCATGTTTCTCTCCTTTCCTTTTTTTTTTTTTTAAATAGCAATTTACCACACAAAAACAAAACAAAAAATCCATACAAACCAAAAAACAGCAGCAGCAGCAGCGGGTTATTTAAGAATTCTCTTCAAATACCAATGACATACGATGGCTGGAGAGGTTGCTTTTTACTCATGTAAGAATATATATATATATATATATATTTAACTGTACACAATTTATAGTGCATGACAATTTCCAAAAAAACAGATTAATAAAAGATATTGGCCATTTCTGCATAATTTCATTCTTTTTACAATTTTCTCAAAACACAAGAGGTTGGCTCTAATTGAAATGCTACGTTTAGTAGGAAAATCAGCAAGTAACAAAGGAAACATAACCTCAACTTAACATTGCCTCTAAAAGCCACCGTTTGAGTTTTTAGTAGAGGTCCCAAGCAAGAGACTAGTTAGGTAGACACTGGAGCCACACTGTCCCTGAGGACCAAGGCCAGCCCACTGAACACACACATGCTAGATTGATCAAGGTCAGTTGAAGACGTTTCAAAGAGCATTTCCACTTTTATGTACAGTATTTTTGGATATTCAAAGAAACATCATTTTGAAAACACATGCCATACACACATACCACCCCACACCCCTATACACACACAAAATTCCATCTAAACAAGGCCGTTGTTTTATGAAATTATGATATGTCATTAAATTACATTTGGAATCAATATTTTCAATTCATCTTGATCAGTTCTACCTTTGGGGATGAGGTGTGACAGCTGTGGTTACCAACTGACATCAAAAACAGTATTTTGAAATTACTTGATGGATTAAGATTTCCAACAAGTCTTATTTTAAATGAGTAATGCAGTAATTTTCTTATAAATTTCCTTTGGGTTTAAACAGTTATTAATCACCCTATCAAATTGTAAGTCTAAGAAAGTCAAGATGAGGAGACAAAACACAATTGTGTTGCATACAGAGACTGCCCAAGCCCTCATTCAATTGTTCTTGGAAGAAAAAAGTATCACATTTCGCAGAAGTGAAGACACTGAAAGGACATTTAAGGTCTTCGAGATCAATCCTCCACCAGATGCGTGAATTTCCTCATCAAATTCATTTCTTTGCTCTTACAAAATTATTAACTTTAACAATATTTAGGTAACAAAGACCAAAAACAGAAGCACAGGCTCAAATACAAAAAAGTTACCAAAGGAATTATATAAACTGTATAACATTTTCAAGAGCAATGTTTATCTTTTCTGTCAGATCTACTTCAGAAGCTGTCGTCTTTGGGAGCTCCAGGTGGACAACTCATACACCATCCTGGTGTAATTCTCAAGTCTGTGGTAAACTGAACCTCCAAACCAATGAAGAACATTTCCTTTGCCAGCCTATAACTTAAAGCCTAGGTTAAGTCCTTCCTTCTCAAACCCCCCATTTAAAAAAAAACAACAGTAAAGTATTATATCTTTATTTTCAAGCATACGTGTGTGTGTGTGTGTGTGTGTGTGTGTGTGTGTGTGTATATTTGGTTTGTGTATATACACACACACACACACACATATATATGCTTAAAAATATACATATATATGTAAAAGCATATACATATACATATATATTTATATATCTCACAGAACCAATAACATTGGTATTACACTTGCCTGCATAAATTATGTACACTTCTCTTCTTTAAAAGTGATTCCCATCTTTCCCAAAGAGATAAAAGACAAGCTAGTCCTCAGCAGGCTTAGAAGTGGGCTGCACTTTCCCCTCCAAACAGCCGCACAGTTACAGAAGCCGTAGAAGCCTGTCTGCGATCTCTCTCACCTGAGCTAGGATGGGGACGTCTTGACTAGCAGGACTATTCAGCCAGAAAATGAGCACCTGTGGTTGTCTGAGTGGTGGCCTTCAGTGGCAGATGCTTATGCCAAATTTCACCTGAGGCCCTTTGGGTACCTGCCTTGAGTTCTGCAGAAGCCAAGCAGCTGAGGGAGCCTCAAAAACAAAATGCTAATGTGGAAAAAGGGCCTGCTCCTAGTTATGGTCCCCCAATACTTCTCCTTTCTGCTTCCAAACAGGCTCAAAGACCCAACCAAAATGTCCACTGCTGTAATGGCAGTGCCATTCAGCTGCTCTGACGTTGACACTTTATGCTTAATTTCTATCACTGCTTTTATAGGACCCTCCTCCACCAGGTGTTTCTGGTGAGAGAAGAAAAGTGGGGTTCTCTTGTGGCTGTCAAATGCATATGAACATGTATAAAAAGTGGTCAAACCCAGATGAGGGTCCTGCTTCCGGTATATGTACAATAATTTAATCAGTTGTATACATTTAATACCTAAAAAATTAATTCACAATCAAAGTCCTTCATGCATTTTATGAGGAAGTTCTGGATTCAAATGATGGTCAACCATATAGATTTTTGCCTGGGAAGATGATATCTTTTTCTGCCAGAGCATCAATAGTGCCTGTGGTTCATACTTCCTTAAATTTTTAGTTTCTTTGTGGTTTCAAGTCTTTTTTTCAGCAGCTCCCCAATTTCCAGAAGTGAGTGCACATAACTGCTTTGCACCTTCCCTTGCACTGTCTTTGAAAACTTTCTTTCTTCCTACAAAGGAGATAAGAATTAGTGATCCTGCTCAGAAAGCATTCCCCCAGATTACAGTTCCTCAGCTATAAATTAAAATTACCATTACCTTTGTCTGACCGCAAACTCCATCAGAATGGAGTGTCATAAAATGCAAAGGCAAAATCTCATTATAGATGTATATTTTCCATGTGATTTTTCTCTGAGGCATTCTTTATTTCAAGTAGCCTTTGTCATTATTATATAAAGTAAAAAAAAACCTGACATTTCTAATGAGAAGCTTCCATCAACAAAAGTAGAAAATTATAACTAACTTGAACACAAAATCACTACTTTCTTATGAGCTATACAAGGTGGAAAAATTGAGATTTCTGATTAATTTCATCAGAAAAAAATGTAAAAATTTTATTTATTATTATTATTATTATTATTATTATTTTAATCATAACCCGGGACATGGTTAGAAAGGAACAGATGGAGAGGAAGAGAGGGAGGGAAAAGGAGAGGGAGAGTTATAATTATATATAATATAAGCATCAAATTTTATAGTATCATAATTTTTAGTTATAACCAAGTCTCTCTCCATATTGAAAAGTCCATGGGTTCTAGGGGCCAAATAAAAAATGAGCAAAGCTTTCCGCAGCCTACTCAGTTGTGTGGGTTAAATATTTGCTGCTCATTTGACTTGTGGTAGAGAGTATAAAAAACAAAGGGGACGGGAGTATTCAAACACAGAAAGGAGGTTGACTGAGAACTGGTTAGGTTTACATGAAGTTGGCAATATTCCAAAGCCTGGAAAAAAACAGGGAAGCACATCTTATGACCCAATACTGCTATTTGAGATCTAATATCAGAAACACAAACGTGCATAAGAAAGCATGTACAAATACATTTCATTCAGTACTGTATGTAGAAGTAGTTATAGAATAACCTGAAATACCAATGGCTGTGGTGCATACACATTTTGAATACTAACCAGCTGTTTAGAACAAGATTGGCCTATATGCATTAGCCTGAACAGATCTCATGAATATAAGATTGAATGAAAAAAAGCCCAGCTTCGGAGTAAAATAGAGTGAACCATTTATTTTGAAAATCTAACATAGTAGAGCACATTATAAGTTTATATTAAAACCAGTTGGTGTCGAAACCGGTTTGGCTCAGTGGTAGAGCGTCGGTCTGTGGACTAAAAGGTCCCAGGTTCGATTCTGATCAGAGGCATGTACATTGGTTGCGGGCACATCCCTGGTGGGGGGTGTGCAGGAGGCAGCTGGTCGATGTTTCTCTCTCATTGACGTTTCTAGCTCTCTATCCCACTCCCTTCCTCTCTATAAAAAAAAAAAATCAATAAAATATATTTTTTTAAAAACAGTTGGTTTTTAAAATATACATATAATACCGTGTATTTTCTCTATGAATATAAATGAAAGAAGAAGGGGGGGAAAAAACTATCTTGGGCCGAAAACGGTTTGGCTCAATGGATAGAGCGTCTGCTTGGGGACTGATTCGATTCCGGTCAAGGGCATGTATCTTGGTTGCGGGCATATCCCCAGTAGGGGGTGTGCAAGAGGCAGCTGATCCATGACTCTCATCAATGTTTCTAGCTCTATATCTCTCTCCCTTCCTCTCTGTACAAAATCAATAAAATATTAAAAACCAAAACAAAAAAATGATCTTGGCACAGAACCAGTTTCAGCGGATACTCCTAGGAAAGGAGACCAGGACTGGCAGTGGTCGTTCAGAGGCCTTCTAGAATGTTTCCAGTTTAGAAAAGAAGGGGGTGGGAGGTGGGGGGGAAAGTAACCTAATGGAAAATGAATTGAAAAAAAATTTTTTTTTTTGATTCAAAAGACAAGTACTCAGCACTATATGGATCCTATATTTCGTGGCTGGTGCTACTCAGTAATGAAGAACAATTTTAACAAAAGTAAGTAATAAAAGGCCATTGTTGATTTATTTAATCCTCACTATACTCCTAAAAAGTAGATATTAATATGATTTCCATTTTATAAAGAAATTGAGCCCCAGCCAATCAGTGGATAGAGCGTCGGCCTGCGGACTGAAAGGTCCTGGGTTCGATTTCAGTCAAGGGCACATACCATGGTTGTGGGCATATCCCCAGTGAGGGATGTGCAAGAGGCAGCTGATTGATGTATCTCTCTCATCAACGTTTCTAACTCTCTATCCCTCTCAATTCCTCTCTGTAAAAATTAATCAAAAGGATAGCAAGTGTCTCTCTTCTCAAGTGGAAGGAAGGAGGCAAGAACCTATCTGGGATGTACCTACTTCTTTAGATTCAATTTCTAGGCCTTCACTGAGTTCCCAAGTGCTTGGAAGTCTTAAAGTCTAATGGCAGATACAAATGTGTCACAGAAATACAGAAGAGAGAGGTGGGAATGGTTCTGGATAGTGGAGCTGGGACTGATTGGAGGCTGGGGACTGGGGGACAAAGGGTTGGAAATAAAGGAGGGGACATGCACCACCCACACGCCCATCTCCACCAACTCAACAAACTACTACTGCAGGCACCTTCTAATCAGAATTCCTGTAAGGGGAGAATGATGAATTGAAAATTAATATGCCCTTATGACAGAGAACATTTGAATATTTCTTTATAACTTATTGCTGATTGCCTACATTCTCTTACCAATGAGAGAGAAGTGTCTTCTAAAATAAGTTCTTCAAGTTTAAGTGCAATTAGATGTGTTTCAAGCCCTTTAATATGATCCACAACATTGGAAATTAAAGTCTGAAGTCCAGAAACATAGTCTTGAAAACTGGTAAAGACAGGTGGCTGAAAAAAACATTTTTAAATAGTTGAAAGATTATCAAACTTATTTCCTATGCTTACATCATTTAAGCTATACTAATTTCATACTATAGAATTACTTAATGCTATTAACAGTAATAGGAATGGATAGTTTTTATATTAGCACAGTCTTGAAAACCATAGTATATTTAATTGCCACCAAATAATACTAACTCGGCAATAATGACTTAAGCATTCTTTAAAAATGAGATTTTAATTCACCCTGGTGAACTAGAGATGAAATTCTAATAGAAAAGTATCTTGGCCATTACTCAATTTTGAATTGAGAATCTCCTGGAACACTAAATGAGATGAGAGGAACCTAAGACTTCATTTCTTCTCTTTATGTCTTTGAAATTTCCTCTAGTGTTAATAACAGAAACAGAATATTTTAAGTTCTAATAGAAAAATGATGGGAAGCCGAAACCGGTTTAGCTCAGTGGATAGAGCATCCGTCTGCGGACTGAAAGGTTCCAGGTTCGATTCCAGTCAAGGGCATGTACATTGGTTGCAGGTCAAGGAAAAGTACATTGGTTGCGGGCACATTCCCGGTGGGGGGTGTGCAAGAGGCAGCTGGTCGATGTTTCTCTCTCATTGACGTTTCTAGCTCTCTATCCCTCTCCCTTCCTCTCTGTGGAAAATCAATAAAATATATATTTTTTTAAAAATGATGGGAGACTACAGTCAAGAAAATTTTGCCCTGCTTTGGCTCAGTTGAGCATTGGCCTGAGAACTAAAGGGTTCCAGGTTCAATTCCGGTCAAGGGCACATACTTGGCTGGGTTGTGCACTCAGGGTGTCGTGCAGGAGGCAGCTGATCAATTATTCTCTCTCATCATTGATGTTTCTATCTCTCTCTCTCTCTCTCTCTCTCTCTCTCTCTCTCTCTCTCTCCCTTCCTCTCTGAAATGAATAAAAAAAAATTTTAAATAAAAAAAGAACAATAACAAACTGGAAGAAAAGAAATCATCTAAGATAAAGAATAACACTATTATATTATTAAGAGTCCAACAGGTCAGACTATATCAAAAGGTAAAATATTACTATCACAATAGGAAACTTGGGCAATGATAGAACAAAAAATATAGCAAAGAAATCCCAGCAATATATCATACAATTTAAAACACAGATAAATGCAAGAAAACTAACCAATCAAGTAATAAATCAGCTTTTCACTCAAGAAATCTTCTTTGAAAGTTCAACATCAATAGAAATTTTTAAATGCAAATTAGAAAAAAAAAAGTAATGTTTGCTTATCAGAAGGGTAAGGACACAGACACACTCAACACTGTTGTGGAATGTAAAAATGTACATACATAGTAACTTAGCCCTATAAGATATTATAAGGAAATATTATGATTTCATCTTTATGTATATGTCCATATTTTAATAACAGCATAATTTAGAATATTTGCAAATAACAGCATAATTTAGAATATTTGCAAATTAGAAACAACCAAATATTTATCAATGTGAATAAGTTATGATGGTATATTAATACAACAGGATAGTATATAACCATTAAAGGTAATGAAATACATATATATTAACTGAAATGAGATGTCAGTAAATGTCATTAAATAAAAAACAAGTCGAGACTGGGTTGGCTCAGTGGATAGAGCGTTGGTCTGCGGACTGAAGGGTCCCAGGTTCGATTCCGGTCAAGGGCATGTACATTGGTTGCGGGCACATCCCCGGTAGTGGGTATGCAGGAGGCAGCTGGTCGATGTTTCTCTCTCATCGACGCTTCTAGCTCTCTATCTCTCTTCCTTCCTCTCTGTAAAATATCAATAAAATATATATTTTAAAAAATTAAAACAAAACAAAAAACAAAAACAAACTAATAGGGTTTGTTTGCAGTAGCTGTCATTGCTTGTTGGGAATATAGATGATCTTCAGTTTATTTACACCGTTAGGTTATTGAGATAATCATAAAAATAAGGAAAGTTATTTTTATTTTTGGAATTAGAAAAGCAAAAATTACAAAATCCAAATACCAAAAAGCAATTTACAAATTCTAAGAGGGTAGCACTCCATTAACACAGAGAGTAACAGAGCAACTTCTATCCTTTCAGACTTTGTACTCATGACTGTTAATTATTTTAGACACAGTGAATGAAGGGACGGGGGAGATGAGAGAGGAAAACAAAATAAATGTGCAAACTATTAAAGTGATAAGACTAGGTAAGGCTATTTGGGTGTCATTATACTAGTATTTCAACTTTCCTGTAGGTGTGTGAGAAAATAAATGCATATAGGACCCTAAGGTCTCACAACATGCAGGAAACAAAAAGCAACGTGCAGCTAGATTATTACTTGTATTTTCTGTTATTACCATGATGATGCTGGTTTCTTTTTTCTTCTTTTTCTTTTTCTGTAAATTTAATTTGTATGGTCGCAGGACACTCTCACAGTAACTGGACACCCACAGAATAATAGAAATAGTCTGAAAGAGGAAAAATTACAAATTCATGAATAATGATTACACTCAAGATATCAATCAGGAACAGTTAAATGTAATGGATTAAACAAATAAATTGACAGTTGTTCTATGTAAGTCCCTTCAATTTCTCCTCCAACTCTCCACTCTCTAAGTTTTATGGTAACCACATTAATCCAGGCCTTCATCATCTCCGGCTTAAATACTCTTAACACCTTAAATCTTTATCCTTTCTTCAGGTTCCACTTGATCCTTTTTCCTTTCTCTTCCCTATCAGAAGTGCGGCTCTACCAGCATCCTTTTCACTCAAGTGAGAAGTCCAAATTCCTAAACATGGAATCCAAAGGTTCTTTACAATATATATCGCTTCCCACCCACCTCTTCAGCCAAGTAAGATACTACCTTACCTGCAAACCTTAACTTAAATATATATGGAGAATCTGCCTAGTTGGTCACATATATCCTCTATTTGTTAGATGTTTGTATGTCTTCTTCTTCACTATAGTGAACATATGTTCATACATATGCAATTATTCATTCATTTAGTAAGTGTATTATAGGTACTTATAATGTGCCAATCACAGAACAGAAAATACTATCCTCAGCAAGTTTACAAACTAGTAGGAGAAGAAAAATATATGCCACAGAAATTAAAGTTAAGTTATCGGTGTTTGTGATACATCCTCCTCTCTGCTAAAAGAAGGAGAGTTTTGATATATCAGCTCCTGGGTCATCCTTCATAATGCAGAATCTCAGTAATTAAAGAATAGCAATAATAAAAGAAGCTGGAGGAATTAAACTACATAATAGCTGAGTCAACAAAGAAAATGAACAGAAAACAGCTAGATTTGGAGTGGATCAGAAATCTTTAAAGATGAGTCCACTGTTTTCCAATTAACAAAAGGCAGGTGTGAGAGATTAAATTTCAGGTCCAGATTGCCTATTCAGTGTTCATTTTTGAAAAATTAATCCTTCAGACAATAGAAAACAATCTAGTTTTTCAGGAAAAAAACAAAACATACCTCAACAAAGAAGACTAGATTTTCTAAAAGAGTAGGATGTGTTTTCAAGTTACCATCTTTAACTTCTAACAGATCACCTTTACATTTGCTGAAGACATCTAAAAACAGAAAAATATTTCATGGCTTTATTCAGCCCTGTTTCAATGTTATTCTTAGAAACACAATGTACAATATACTAAAGAATAAACAAATAAATATTAAAGCTTAATCAAGAAAGCCTCTCATCCTCACACAATAAATCAGATACCAAAGAATATCTATGTTAAGCTCTCTTAAAAGCCACGTGACTATTGCTCTATTGTCTTCAAAATACAAAAGGTGGCTGAATAAACTATATATTCTAGTGTCTGAGCCTTTTCACAAATATGCCATTGGCACAATAAAATTAAGATTCCCAGTGAATAATTTAGAAGAACCTAAACATGCCATTAAGAGCATGGTAGAGAGGCACCTTCATAAACAAATACCACATTTGATTTACAATCTTGTTCATCTTTTAATCCTCATTCTTCATTTGGGCAATAAAATTAAAAACTGTTTATGATCCTGAGGAGAAAATCCCTTATAGATATAAAATTCTTATGTATATCCTTTTACCAAATAATTCGATTTCTAGGAATTTAATCAAAGAAAATACTCAAATAAGTACCCAAACACTTATGTCTCAAGATCTTCATTTCAGCATTGTTATATATATGCTGTTAAAAATACTGCTATAAGTAACTCAAGTGTATATTATTACATATTGGATGGAGAAAAGCATAAACAAATTTGGTACAATGATTAAAAACCATGGAATATTATCCAGTCTTCAAAATGAATGAAGTATACATGTAACTGAAATGGTAAGATATCCAAGATAATAGCAAATTACAGTCAGAAAAGCATATATTATACCTTTTCATATGTTAAAAACAATTACTACTATATATTTCTATATATACATATATGGGCAGTTTGGACTCCAAAGCGTCAACAGTTCTTACTCTGAGGGAATGGGGCTGGCAAAAGGAAAGACCATACATAGCTGTGTACTATTTATATAATAGGTATCTATGGCTTTTGCAATAAAACATTTTAAAGTTAAGAGCAAATCTTAAACATACCAAAAGTATGTATTACTTTCAAATCCTCTTGCAAGTTTTGACTTAAAAAATAATGAGCTATTATCAGACAATCAGATACAAAAGGGGACACAACAATAAGAATGCTTACCTTTTAACTGTTCTAGTAAAGACTTAAGAGTATTCTCTACTCGCTCCTGGATCTCTATTGTATCCTCTGAAATTGAAAAACAACGAAAAACATTCATTTTTTTTAAAGCAAGCTCAATACCTGCAAGCCACATGTAGGCAAAGACATTTTCTTTTCTCTAAAGAGAGACAGAGAAAGATGAAAGGAAAAGGAAAAGGAAAAAAAAAATTGAGAAAAGATAAAGGAAAAGATTTCTAGTCTAGAAGAACTAGAAATCTATGTGTTTCAAATACTCTAAATGACAGGACAGGATGCACAAACCTTATGATTCAGAAGGGGAAAAAACCACCACAGCCTAGAGAATATTTGTGATTCTCACTGGTTTTACAGCTTAGAAAGAAACTCTTCTCCACAAAGTTAAAAACTTCATTTTTCTTTTCTAAAGAATAGTTTATTGCGAAGCCAGCCCATGGTTGAGCAGCAACCTATGTGCCTGAAGATCACAGTTCCATTCCCAGTCAAGAGCACATGCCCAGGTTGCAAGCTCAATCCCAGTGTAGAGTATGTGAGGAGGCAACCTGATTGATGATTCTCTCTCCTTATTTATATATCTTTCTCTCTCTCCCTCCCTCCTTTCCTCTATGAAATCATTTAAAAATAAATATATTTTGCCAAAACCGGTTTGGCTCAGTGGATAGAGCATCAGCCTGCAGACTGAAGGTCCCAGGTTCGATTCCGGTCAAAGGCATGTACCTTGGTTGTGCGTACATCCCCAGTGGGGGTGTGCAAGAGGCAGCTGGTCGATGTTTCTCTCTCATCCATGTTTCTAACTCTCTAACCCTCTCTCTTCCTCTCTGTAAAAAAAAAAATCAATAAAATATATTAAATAAATAAATAAATAAATAAAATATATATATGTTTTTAAAAATATATAATAGTTTATCGATTTTTAAAGAGAAAAGGAAGAGGGAGAAAAAGAGAGAAACACCGATGTCAGAATGCAACATCGATTGGCTGCCTCCTGCACAGGGATTAAGCCCACACCCAAGATGAGCCCTTGACTGGGAATCGAATAGGCAACCTCCTAGTGCACAGGATGATGCGCAACCAACTGAGCCACACCAGCCAGAGCTAAGGGCTTTGTTTTTAAATAAAGAATTCAATCTGAAATCTAAAAATAGTGTAACAAATTAAGAATTTATTCAACTTTTGAATATAATATTTCAAATACCGTATTTTTCGGCGTATAAGACGATCCCCTAATTTTACAGTTAAAACATGGGTTCAGGCCTATATTCGCTGCATAAGACTACCCCCCACTTCCGAGGCAACACCTATGTTTTAACTGTAAAATCAGGGGGTCGTCTTATACGCCGGAAAATATAGTATGAAAGGACTTAAATTTCTAAAACATTACTTTATAACCTTTTAATGTACTTCCCTGTAAACCAGGCATTTCCAGAACAGCTTCCAGCTTCCATCTCCTTTAAAGTTTTAAATAGTGAGTTATAGATATTATGTCGCATTTATTAAGTGCAATGTTGCAATGACAAAGACCCACTAAATAGACTCAAGCAAACATAACTTACCTAAACCATTGGTATCCAGCTCATAAATATCACAGACAAGATAAAAAGAACTGGTCTGGCACTGAGAACAGCCAGAATTAAGGAATCCACCCATTCTGGTAGGCACAGGACCAAGGAAAGGATACTGAAAAAGAAAGAAATAAAGTGATGTTCTTTTTTTTTTTTTTTTTTTTTTTTTTTTTTTAAATATATATTTTATTGATATTTTACAGAGAGGAAGGGAGAGAGATAGAGAGCTAGAAACGTCAATGAGAGAGAAACATTGACCAGCTGCCTCTTGCACACCCCCCACCGGGGATGTGCCCACAACCAATGTACATGCCCTTGGCCGGAATCGAACCCGGGACCCCTCAGTCCGCAGACCGACGCTCTACCACTGAGCCAAACCGGCTTCGGCTAAAGTGATGTTCTTTAAGTTCATCTAATTTCATACAAAATAAGAAAACAAATGTCTGTAACTAATGGATAAAAATCTATCTTAGTGATTAATTCACATACCATTGATCAGCAAACTATAGTAGCCCCTCCACCCTCTCTCTCTCTCCCTTCCTCTCTAAAATCAAAAGAAAAAATTTACCATCACAGCGGGGCCAGTGTGGCTCAGTTGGTTGGAGCATTGTCCCATACATCAAAACGGTTCGATTCCTGATCAGGACACATATCTACTAGATAGCAGGTTCTATCCCGTCAGGGCCCATGGGGGAGGCAACACATAGATATCTCTCTCACATTGATGTCTGTTTCTACCTCTCTTGCCCTTCTTCCCCCTTCTCTCTAAATATAAATGAATATATCCTCGGGTAAGGATTAAAAAATAATTTACTATCACCAAAAAATGCTATTTTGCTTTTCCTCACTTTCCAGTTTGGATATCGAAACAGCCTCTACAATCTCATAAGTTTGTAATATTTGCCTTTTTCCTACAAATTTCATAAACTGGGACAAAATTCTGTTTCTTACAATTCATCCACCCAAATTATATTATTAAAAAGATAGTCATAAATTACTTAAGCTTTGATAATATATACCTGAATTTCCTTCTCAATAAATCGCTTTCCTGTCTCCAGGGCAGACTCCAGCTGTTGAAGGAGCAAACGAAGAATATCAACCCTGGAGGCTACACCGTTCTCAGTGGTCTTCTCCGAGTTCTTGGGTTCCACAGGGTGGTTAAGACTTGGGAGTCCACTGATCAGCCTCAATGTTAAGGAACGGATTCTTAACCACATGGTCTCCTCCTCCAAGGAAAGTTTCTTATGCTCTTCAGAAACATCCCTTTAAAAAAATCCCCAAACCATCCCTTTACTAAATATGTTGCCTTTAAATCTTTCAAAGTTAACTTTCATCAGACAAGATGCCTTTGAGAAGTCCAGCTTTCATTTACTAGCCGAATGATCTTAGACAAACCAAAATCATTCAAGTCCCCACTTAGGTATCCATTAACAGGAATGACAACCTACCTAACATGTTATTTTCTCCTTAACTGAGACTTTTCTGATAATATAATTCAAATGACAGAAAAGTAAAAAGCAGAAGGAAAATGCCCTGATAACCAAGCATCCACCATATTAACAAACTTACAGATTTCAGATTTTTGCAATACAGAGGTGTTAAAAGTATGCAACTAAAAGTATTTATACAATTTATTTTAAGCAAATAACACAGGTTCATTATATTCATACCATTTTCCAAACTGAATCTTTTTATGATAGAATGTGTAGAAAAGATTAACATAGTAAGCCTGAGGCTATTAATTTAGAAGAGCCTACTTATAAGGGTAGCTCTTCGCTGATGTCTGGAAACTTGGTACTCCAACTATTCCCTAAATGACAGGAGTGGCTCACTGTGCCTAGACTATACAAACCTATTGTTTATGGTGACACCTATTTTCCTCCTGAGTGTCTAGAATGTTGATACATGCTACACAGAGCATACCTATGTAACCAGCTGCTAGAAACCTTGGGCACCAACTCTCTAATGGGCTTCTCTGAGCAGAAACATTGCACACTTATTCCTGTATTTTCCATGGCTAGAGAAAGGAGCGAGTGTGACAGAGCACCTCCTGGGTGGGAGAGGTACTGGAAGTCTGTGCATGGAATTCTCCAGACTCCAACTGTATGTTTTTTCCCTTGCTGATTCTGTCATCTATCTTTTTATTATAATAAACCTTAGTTGTAGGATAATTATGTGATACCATAATCAATAAAATTTAAAAATTAAATAAAAATAAAATAAACCTTAGTTGTGAAAGCAAGGATATATTAAGTCCCATGAGTCCTTGCCAATCACTAAATGTGTTCTTGCAATCCCTAAGTCACAGTATATTCAGAACTATACCTCATAGACATAGCTCTGCATGATCTATTTCCTTAGGTTCCACTTTCCTAGAAGCAGATCTGCTGAACTAAATAGTATATGAACTTTCAATCTTGATACATATACATATCACTAAAATTCCTAGTTAGGGAAGGTAATATAAAGTTTCACCCCCATGTAAACATACAAAAACAATTTTCTCACCATTTTGCTGAGCATAGTATTAATCCTTTTTATCTTTACCTGACAGGTTAAAACACTTTTATTGCTATAAGAATCATTTCTTTAAATTTCCTATTAAGTCATTTACCCAATTAGTTTTTTAGTTATCTTCTTCTCAGTTCTCTCTATATATGAAGGCTATTAATATATATAAAGAGCTCTGATCTTCAGGGGTTAAAGCATCTGGCAATACACCAGAGGGTCATAGGTTAGTGGTTTTATCCCAGACCTCAGTCAGGGTGCATGCAGGAGGCAGCCAATCAATGTGTCTGTCTCACATAGGTGTTTCATACTCTCTCCCTCCTCTTTCCCTGCCTTTTCCCCATCCCTTCCACTCTCTCTAAAAAAACTCAATGAAAAAAATACCCTCAGGTGAGGATTAACAAAAATATATATTTTGTTAAATATTTTCTGGTAAGCTGATATTTACCAACTTACCACATATCCTTAGACCTTTACTTCTATATTTGATATAATGCTAAGAAAGGCTTTCCCCAATCATTTTTATTTTATATTTTCTTCTAGAATTTCTAAGGCATTTTAACATAATCTTTAATCTATCTGGAGTCTGTTTGCATGGATGCTATGAAGAATAGAACTTTTAATCCCAACATAGGGGCGAGATTTTTCTTCCTTTGGTTTACTTATATTTTCTGATTCCTACAATAAACATCCTATATAATAAAAGGCTAATTTGCAAATCAACTGAATGATAAAATGACTGGTCGTTATGATGCACATTGTCCACCAGGAGGCAGACACTCAATGTAAGAGCTGACCCTTGGTGGTCAGTGTGCTCCCTCAGGGGAGCACTGCTCAGCAAGAAGCGGGGCTCACAGCTGGCAGTTGGACAGTTGGTGGGAAGTGGGCCTAAGCCATCAGTCAGACATCCCCCAAGGGCTCCCAGACTATGAGAGGGTGCAGGCCAGGCTGAGGGGACACCCTGTCCCAGCCCCCCAGTGTATGAATTTCATGCATTGGGCCTCTACTGTTATATTTGTGTAAAAAGGTTTTAAAAAACCCAATTCTTAGATTCATTCTAATTGTTTAAATCGCTTGGGGGGTACTTCCAGTTACCTATCTTTTGGATCCCAGCTGAAGAAAACATTTAAGTCTCTGTTGTCTCGCAAGGTTTCCCATGGAATGTCATCTTCTTCTGGCCGAAGATTCATTGACTTTATACTTTCTGCTAAGCTGATTGATCTATGATACAGAAAATATATTTATGTATTATTTAAGTTATAAACCAGCCATAAAAACATATTAGCTAGGACTCTTGTTTTATTAGAAAGGAATGGAGGAAGGGAGGATTTACTATTAAGAAGGCTCGCCCTACCTCATTTGGCTCAGTGGATATAGCATCAGCCTGCGAACTGAAGGGTCCTGGGTTCAATTCCGGTCAAGAGCATATGCCCGGGTTTTGGGTTCAATCCCCAGTAAGGGGCATGCCGGAGGCAGCCAATCAAGTATTCTCTCTCATAGATATTTCCATCTTTCACTCTACTTGTCTTTCTGAAGTCGATAAAAATACATTTAAAAAAATAATAGTAGTAAAAGCTCATAGAAGATGAAAGAGAACCAAGCACAGATCGTGCCAGCTTGAGTCTGAAAGCCCAACCAAAACAAAGTGGATTCCTGAAATCCCATGTGTGCAGGGATCCTTATAAACACAACATTTCCCAGAGTCTAGCTGGCTTCTGTATGGAACCTAACAGTACTCTCATTCCCATGACATATATCAAGTTCTCTATCCCTTTCTTTCCTGCATCCCCTCCTATTTACTCATTTTCCTTAGCTTAAACCTGTTAATGTTACCCATGAGCTCATTAAAGGCTTTCAGCATTTGATCTTATCCCTTAGTTCCTTTTTAGCTCTATGCAATCCTATATAATAAAAGCCTAATATGCAAATTGTTTAAACAGTTCAACTGCTCTCTATGACATGCTCTGACCACCAGGGAAAGTGTGGAACATGGCAGACGTCATGGCAGGCATCAGTGCTGGCAGTCGGCAGGAGTGGAGGTCCTGTCATCCCCAACAGGCTCCAATAAGAGCAAGAGCACAACAGGATGGTGGAGCAGGTGAGCGGGTGGTGCCAAGCCAAGGCAGGTGTGAACAGGGGCCCAATTGCCCCACCCATCACCCCGCAGACATAAGCAGGGCCACTGCCCAGCTTCCAGGTGCTGAAGGAGTTGGGTGGGGTGCCTGGTCACGATCAATTGCCCCCCAGGCAGAATGGTGGAGCAGGTAAGGGGACAATGCCAGGCCATGGCTGGGTGTCAGATGGGACTGCGGGGGTTTAGGCGCTAGCTAGGGCCTGATCCCAACAGGCCAGTCCAGGGACCCCACTCATACACAAGTTCATGCACCAGGCCTCTAGTACTTACATATTTGCTTCAAGTAGAAGGTCTAACAACATCCGTTCAGTACGGACTTGTGCAAAATGAAGAGAATTATTCAGCCTGTTCCTAAAAGCGATAAACTCTGGAATCTTCTCAAATGCACCATATTTGTAAGCTTGAATAATATATTCTGAGGTCTGGGAAGGAAAGACATTACCTTGGTATAAATATTTCACAGGTCAGACAATGAAGTCAAACTAAAATTAAGTAAAATGTTTAATCTAATTTTTAAAGACCTTGATCACCAAGTAGATTATGGGCTTTTAAAAGATCATTTTCCTTCTTTCCTATACCAGAGTCAAATGTCTTCTTTATTAATATTACCACTACTAATATTTAGCTGCTGCTGCCACCACACAAACTTTTTCTTTGAGTTTTGTCTTTCAATTCAACAGGACTGGAGGTTTGTTATACCAAATCAGTCAAAAATTTTGTTTGTGCCATTATGGAAGGGATATTACTCCATGTTTTTCTGCATCTAAGACAAACTGTTTTATACAAAGGTTCCAAAACACTAGAATAATATAACCACACTATTAACACCACCACCCCCTATCCCCCAAAATCACTCTCCTTCAGAAAAAAAGGCTGCTGCTCGGTTTTGTTTATTTCTAAATACAGGATCACAAACATAAAGCATGTATTATATCAGGATAGAAATAAGGCGCCAAACAAAAGACCAATAAAAACTCATGTCATAATCTGTTCTGAGAACAGAAAGACTTCAAGAACCAGGCTACTACTTGTCCATCCAAACTACCTAAGACCTCTGCTAGAAAATTCCATAAACAAGTTAAGTGAAGGCAACACTCACCACATCTTTAATTTAGATAATACACATTTACAGATGAAATATTGTAAACAGAGGCAAGATAAAGAATTCTCAACAGAAATTCTGGCACAACAGAATAAAATCTCAGGGAAGAACATTTCATAGGTGGACCTATGCCATCAGGATTAGAAGTCAGGAGGGCACCCCTCGGACCAAGGAAAGGGTGAAGTTCAAAGCTGATGTCTGCCCTAAAAAATCCTTTCTAGATCCTTTTTGGCATAACCTCAATCAGTTTGCCCCCATCTCCATAACGTTCCAATTATCTGCCCAGTAGGAAAATAGGCCAATAGTTAACAACATACCCTCTGATACACAGCCTCGCAGGGTTCATTTCAGGCCGCGGGATTGCGCCACGGGCGCTAATTCAACTGCATTCGATGCGGCTTTTAAACCCCCATGGGACACCTCGGCGAGCTGTTTGCCTGCAGTATCTGGAGAAATTAAAGACGGACGGACACAAGAAAATTAAAAAGATTACTTGTGATCCTGCAGGTTTAAAGAAGGACTATCTGAAAAAGCTCAAGTGTACCTTCTTGCCTGATTGAAGGACAGTGATAGGCCCTATAAGAAGAGGCCAGGACACTCTAAACACATATGCCTATCCGATGGCCACTTGGCTTGGAAAACATAGCAAGGTTTGCCAGCAGCCCTTGCAATAGGAACTTAGAAGTTGAAAAAACAAAAACAAAAAACAGCTGGTTAGGAACATATGATCCAGAAATTAATCAGGATAAAATATGACTTTGGTGATTCCAATCAAATTTATTAATTACAGATCCAAAATATTATGTTAAAAAGCAAGAACCCAGCCTTACTGAGTGTAGAATCAGTTTTAATTTGAAGTGGTCCATGGACTACCACTTTAGAAAAAGGCACCAGCTTTAGAAAGAGAAAATGGAGGCAACAAAGAGGGAGTGTAGTCCTTTAACAGACTGAGAAGGTAACTCTAGCTCTCTGGTTGTTCTTTTGACGATAGTCCTCCTTTAATGCCATGGTAAACTGTCACTGCAGAACTAGGAAAGGGCTTGAGCAGCTACCAATAGGACAAAAGCTGGGAAAGGACTACAATTTGAAGAAACACCCCCTATGAGAACTGCAGGCAAAACTGGAAGCCACTGGCACTTTAAAGCCTTCTAAATATCAGAGAATGTTGTCCGTACTTATGCCTATTCATGTATGAACCATTGAAGCTATTTAGATCCCATTTGGATTCCTGAAATGAACCCTGGTCACTAAAAATTTGCATAATACATGGACATCAAATCCCTGTAATAATATCTATGGATACCTAAAATAAAGACTTTTAAAGGGAAAATTTTTAAGTATAAATATATAAGTAACTTTTGAAGATATGAAAATCTAGCACATTGTAAAAATCTATTCCCAAGTAATGACGACAGCAGACAATAACCTTCTCAGAGAGAAAATTCCTGTGCAGACCTTCCAAATATAACTTTCAATTCCACAGCACAAAGCCTTAAAAAGCAGAAAACCAGACTTTCCATTTGGGAGTAAAAGTATTTTTTCAAAGAGCTAGTTAAGAATTGAAATACATCAGTCACTCAAGGAAACACCAAATGGAGACACTAAAAACTACCAAGAATAAAAGATATAGAGCGTAGAGTTTTTGTTTCCAGAGAGGTATTTCTAATACTACACCAGAAGATTTAACACATATAGTACCAACACTACAACCATGATCTTTCTCAGCCTAAAATTCCTTCAAGAAACATCCACACCAGTCTCCATTTTCATATTTTGGGACTGGGGCTAAGCACTAAGGCTTAAGGTGTGTTTTCCTTGCTATATTGTGTTTGCTTTTGTCTCCAGAATCCCCAAAGATTATCTATGATTAAGTAAGTTCTGTCTTCCCAGTTAGTAGTAATAAAAACAAACGTGTCAAATAGAACATCCTAGTTCCAGATCAATAAAACACTATAATTTTATCACAAGCATTGAGATGAATTGTCATTCCTGACACATACAGCCATCAGCGAAACACCAAAGATACAAAATGCCACTGAGGACATGTCCTCTCTAATCGCTCCTGGGGATCTCCTTTCTCTGTGTGTTCAAAACAACTCTTCAGACACAATTTTTGTGGGGGAATAATTAATGCTTAACTATAGTTTAAATAATGTACCTTTGTTGGCCAAGTCATGAACAACATGACTCTTTAAGAATGTTAAATGACTGGAAACAAGTAAAACCAGCCACCATGCTTGAATTAACGTCTTATTTACCCCAACTCCCACTTCAAATCTATCTGAGAAAAAAAACTTTGAAAAGAATTCTTCAGGAAATCAGATGTTTAACTAACCTCTTCCTAAAATATGAAAATGAGAGCTAGAATGAGATTTAAGTAACAGTTTTTTCTTTAGTGTTAGTAAAACTACTTGAAAACAGAAGGCAAAGCATAGATAATTGAATGCACAGTGAAAATTCAAGAGATTTATAACTGCCTACTTGTGCTCAGGAATTTTAGAAATCCAAGGTCCAAGAGATTCTCTCTGACCTCTAAGCCAGGCCAGCACCTTCTGATCAATATGTTCAAATGCTGATGCCTACTTCCCTCTCTCCCTGGTAGGAGCTATGGCACAAAATGGAATCTGAACAGATACCAACCACTTTGGAGGGGAGAGGTTAAAGGGGAGGAAAATAGAGCTCAAAAGCTAATAAATGAAGAACACCAGTCCTTGAGGCCATGCCCTGAAACTTGTCCAGACATAATTATTACAAGCTGAGAACAACAAACCTATATTTTAGTGTTAAGAAATGCTTCTGCCCTACCCTGGCTCTAGCAGATAGATTAGCCAAAGCTGTTATAGTTATAAAACATTTTTTTTTTTAAATCCTCATGAGTATTTGTCATGAAGAACCCCAAAACCAGCTTTCTGGCTTAGTTTCTTGATTGTTATATTAGAGAAGAAATTGGACTGATATGGGCAGATATCTGGAATGGCCCAATTCCAGGCAATAAGTCTTGGAAGCACATGAGAACCAAGTTGGCAGTGACCATCCTAGAAGACGCTGGCAGTGACCATCCTAGAAGACATGCCTTATCTTCACACATGTTCCTGGGTAGTTTTGCATAGTTGGTCGACTGAGTAGAGACCATACACATGGCTTTTCCACAAAAACGACTGCTTAACTGACAAGTGGAGACCAAGTCTGCTTGCAATGAAAAATATGGTGCAAATCCCATCCTTTCATTATGGCACATAAAAGCTCTATCTTATTCATTGACGAAATGACCTACAATTGGCCAATTTTATCATTCTAAGAAAACGGAAGTGCATTTGCTGTTGACAAAGAGCACAGTGGTTATAGGCTTCAGGAATAAATCAAGGTAACAGAGCACAGCTGCTATCGCAGAATCTTACACGGCATCTCCTGCCCTCGGAAAAAATCTCTAAGAGATTAAAAGACCGACCTAAGAGCATAAAACTTCCTATTCTTTTAATACCCAGTTTTAACACCTTTGTATGGATCCTATTAAACAAGCCTGTTCAGCCTTGGCCAGCAAGCTATGTCATACAGGCACTTGCAAATACAGCAAGGTACACCCTAACAAGTGTACCTATGACATGGCGAAGATGCTCTCATGTGCATTCAGCAGGCAAGACAATAAAATAAAATAAAAAAACTTTTTTTCACTTACATCTTTCTGGTTGGAGTGGAAAAACCTGAGTGCGAAGTTACAGGATTGGGATGCAGCAGCATACAGACCTAGGGATTCAGCGTATCGGGTCAAAAGATAACTAGATAGGAAGCAAAGAGGAAAAAAAAAACATGTTATACTTACCCACCTATAATATCATATACTATACTTCAAATTATTTTGACAGAGAAATAGTAAGTATATGGAAAATTTAAAACATCTTGCAACAGAAATCTAATTTACCAAATCAAATTTTTAAAAAGAATAAAGTTAATTCAGTTTTGGGGACGCTCTAAGATCAATGCCATGCTTTCTTATACTCAGATAATCAATGGAGCATAGATTATGAAAGAACAGAATGCTGTTTTCCTAAAACAGGTCTACAGGGAATAGAGAAAATATCCCAATTCAACACAAAGAATAGTTCCAACGCAAATTCAAAGAATCTCTAAGGACAACAAATGAAGTACAGGTGTCAACCTCAAGTCCAAGCCAAAAGTAAAGATTTCAAAACCATGTATGCTGCCGAAACCGGTTTGGCTCAGTGGATAGAGCGTCGGTCTGCGGACTGAAAGATTCCAGGTTTGATTCCGGTCAAGGGCATGTACATTGGTTGTGGGCACATCCCCAGTAGGGGGTGTGCAGGAGGCAGCTGGTCAATGTTTCTCTCTCATTGATGTTTCTAGCTCTCTATCCCTCTCTCTGTAAAAAATAAATAAAATATATTTATTAAAAAAAAAAAACAACAAAAAGCCGAGACCGGTTTGGCTCAGTGGTAGAGCGTCGGTCTGCGGACAGAAAGGTCCCGGGTTCGATACCGGTGAGGGGCGTGTACGTTGGTTGCGGCACATCCCCGGTGGGAGATGTGCAGGGGGCAGCTGGTCGATGTTTCTCTCTCATTGACATTTCTGGCTCTCTGTCTCTCTCCCTTCCTCTTTATAAAAATCAATAAAATATATATAAAAACAACAACAACAGCAATAAAAATAACACACACACACAAACACATATGCTAAGAAAAAGGGTTCAAAGTATATAGCCATTCGTTGAATCTGAGGAAAACTTTCTTACCATTTCTAAATTGCAATTTTTAACATTATTACAAAATGCTGGCAAATATAAATTCTTTCAATGGGTCATAATACGTGATTATTTCATCTAAAAAGCTTAATACCAGGAACAACTTTACTGCTAAAATCAAAATGTTCAATTTTCATGTATCAGAACCCCACACTGTTGTAGCTGACTGCTCATTATTCAGAGTATATACTACCAACCCAATGGTATCATGCTGGATATGCTTAGCATCAAGGCTGGAGTACAGATCCAACACAGGTTCAAATGCTCCCAGCATACAGTAGATTCGAACAAGCAGCAATTTGAATTGAGCATTGGAAGGGCTATGGATTAATCCCTCTTCCAGCAAAGTCAGGGCCTGCCACACAGCAGTCTCGTCACCTAGAACCAAAATATAATAGCATTACCCACAGCTCCTGACAGCAAATATAGGGTTCTCAAAAACAAAAACTTACATCACCTCCCCTAATTATTCTAAGAATGAGTTTAGATGACTGAGAATATATTTTACATACACACCTGTAAGCAAAACAGGTTATTACCTGAATAGTTACCTCAATTCTTAAATATGCATCTATAAAATTGACCCAAAACTTTAAGCTGCCAGGTCTTATAGAGGGAAGTTATGGAATCTCAGAGTCCTAGATTCCAAGAAGAGACGAACTCTAAAGGAGAACTGGTGTCACCAATCTTTCCACTTCAAGATTTTCCTACAAGACCCAGATGCTTTCTCTAAATGTCATTTTTTTCTTGTATATATAACTCTACCAATAGGATATCAAATAATATTTGAAAAAAATTGTTCATAATCAAAATAAAGTGATACACATTTTGAGCCACCAAAACTCAGTTCACATGTAACTATAGTATTAAAGATTAAGTACATTCTCTTTTAAGAATTTAGCGCCGATTTGGCTCAACGGGTAAGAGTGTCAGCCTGCGGACTGAAGGGTCCTAGGTTCAGTTCCAGTCAAGGGTATATGCCCAGGTTGCTGGCTCAATCCCGAGTAGGGGCCGTGCAGGAGACAGCTGTTCAATGATTCTCTCTTATCATTGATGTTTCTATCTCTCTTTCCCTCTCTCTTCCTCTCGGAAATCAATAAAAATATATTTTTTAAAAAGCAGAGGAATCCTTTTAAAAATAAATTTTAAAAAAATCTACCTAGCCCAGCCTTCATGACTCAGTAGTTGAGCATCCAACTATGAACTAAGAGGTCACAGTTCGTTTCCCAGTTAGGGCACATGCCCAGGTTGCAGACTCCATTCCCAGAGTTGGGTGCATGAGCTAGCCAATCAATGATTCTCTCTCATCATTGATGTTTCTATTTTTCTCTCCCTCTCTTTTTCACTCTGAAATCAATAAAAATATATATATATTTTAAAAGAATCTAAAGAAATAACATGAAATGCAGATTAAGCTTTATTTATAAAAATATTCATTGTACTAATAAATGGGGGTGATTGAATAAATTATAGTAACACCCACCCATGGAAACATCATACAGCCATTTGATGTTAACAAAGAGTTTTTAATAACAAGGGTAAATACTTTTATAATAATTATCAGTAAAACACATACAGAAAATTCAAATTAGCATGAAGAGTTCATCTTCAGTCTAAAAAATATGCAGAGGAAGGAAAAGGAAATGTGCAAAATCTTAGACTGCGGGTGGGAGCAGAAAAAGTGAAATTAAAATAAATTGCTTTCCGAAATCTTTTTATGCTATTTTTATAATCAGGGAAAACAAACAAACAAACAAAAAAAACACAGCTAAAGTAAAACTATCTATTAAGCTTTTAAAATTATACTGTATATGCTTTTTTATCAAGAAAAAAGAAACAAGTTAATAGAAAAATTGAAGTTCTAGATAAATATCTATAATCTTACCCAAACTATGTGAACTACACATAATCTAGTTAAACTACCATTAGGATTTTAATATAATGCTTCTGAACGATAATTAGTTTACACAGTAGTAGTCATAGCATATATCCACTTTTGCATTCTGCTCTTTTATTTGTGTTTTCTCATGTTGCCTACATTTGAGCAACACTAGATATCCGACCTGAAGATAAAAGTCATGGGTGGCTCCTAGCCTCAAGAGGCTCAGAACTGAATAAAAAAAGAGAGCAGAGCCCTAGCTGGTTTGGCTCAGTGAATAGAGTGTCGGTCTGTGGACTGAAGGATCCCAGATTTGATTCCAGTCAAGAGCACTTCTCTGGGTTTCAGTGATAGGAAAAAAAAAAAAAAAAGAGTACATTCAGGACTGTACATACATAGGAATCTGGGGATGCAGACAGAAGCTGGATTTTAAAAAGGCACTATAAATAACCCTGAAAAGGTTGGCCTTTATCCTCAGCAAAATAGGACACCTCTGGAGAATTTCAAGCATGAGGATAATAATATAAAAACTGAGTACTTTGTGAAATGATCCATGAGGACAGGGGTGTATCTATCTTGCACTCCCTTCCCAGTCCTGTTTCTTCTATAGTTTATTCTATGAATAACATGCAATAAGTATCTAAAGTTATTTTTTTCCTCTAAAAACTATTAAGAGTCCTAGCCAGTTTGGCTTAGGGCAGTGGCCAGCAAACTCATTAGTCAACAGAGCCAAATATCAACAGTATGATTGAAATTTCTTTTGAGACACATTTTTTAAAACTTAAAATTTCTAATGCCACTTGTTCAAAATAGACTTGCCCAAGCCGTGGCATTTTGTGCAAAAGCCACACACAAGGGGCCAATGAGCCACATGTGGCTCAAGAGCCACAGTTTGCCGACCACAGGCTTTGGGGACAGAGCATCAGCGTGCAGACTGAAGGGCCCCAGGTTTGGTTCTAGTCAAGGGCACTTACCCAGTTTGAGGACTTGATCCCCAGTAGGGGACATGCATGAGGCAGCCAATCAATGATTCTCTCATCTTTGATGTTTCCATCTCTCTCTCTTCCTTCTCCCTTCCTCTCAGAAATCAATAAAAGATATATATTTTTTAAAATCCTGCTAATATGATAGGGGGATACAATCTAAAGAAAAGGCAATCTCAGTCCTAGCTAGTTTGGCTCAGTGGATAAGAGTGTTGGCTTGCAGACTGAAGGGTCCCTGGTTCCATTCTGGTCAATGGCACATGCACAGGTCGCAAGCTCAATCACCAGTAGGGGGTGTGCAGGAGGCTGCCAATCAATTATTTTCTCTCATCATTGATGTTTCTTTTTCTCTTTCCTTTCCTCTCTGAAATCAATGAAAATATCTCTTTTTTAAAAAAAAAAAAGGCAATCTCAATGCCATTTGCAGAATCATACTTTACCATGTATTATATTTTTGTCTTAAATGGGCTAATCAGAACTGTATTCCAAAAGAGTGCATTTTCCTGTAATTTTTTATAAGAAAAAAAGGTCATAATTTTTTATTAGAATTAGATAAGAGTATAAAAACAAACATGGAGAGAAACTGATAATTTTGCTATATATAATTTTTTTAAGTGAGTAAAGGGGCTATTCCATTCCATGGGCCTATACATCCATCTCTGAATCAGTTTCTCTATATTTTAATTGTTGTGGCATTGTAATAGGTTCTCTACAGTCATTACTATTCATAAATATTTTTAAAAAGAATAGATATCCACTAATTTAAGATTTTCTTGATTGCAGGGAGGGGGATACATGGAGACTTACCCTAGAGAAGGACAAGGAAGAAAAATCTAAAAGCATAAATCAAATTCTTAAATTATGTAATTAGTCCATGAAATAATAGTCAATTAAAAAAAAAAGAGTAGTATCAAACTGAAACGATTGCTCCTTACCTGTTTCTCTCCATATATCAATAAGCACATGGACAGCAAGGAGACAGTAATAGTCTGAAAACTGCAATTCGGTTTTCAAACAGGATTTCCCTGCAGGGGGGGAAAAAATCATCTGTATTTAACATTTATTTAACTATTACTACTCTAAAGAAGTTTTATAGATCAGGTACAGTGAGAAGAAGGAAAGAAGAGGGGGGAAAGAAAAGACGAAGAATGATAAATATAAGCCATGAACTAAAGGATTCAAATGATGAGACTAGACTCAGCTGGAGCAGAAGGGTTCCAAAACAGAGGTGGAATCCAAAATGGTCCAACAGCGAAAGCAACAAGATTTGAAAGGCTTTAGGTGAAGCACAGAAGCCAAGGCCATGTATAACTAAAGTAATGTTATGCTCATTACTTCACCTAAATTTCTAGAATGCTGTTAAAAAAATACTGGTATCACCTAATCAGATATTTTATCACACCTAGCTATCTGAAGATCTTCTACTTCTAAATACCTCACAATTTACAACATTCTTTTTGTTCACTTGCGTAGGAATATAAGCAGAAAATGTGACAATTATCATAAATTATGCAATTCATATGAGCTCACCATATCGGGAAGAACATGGACAATATAATTAGTTAAAACTCCAAGCTTATTTAACACTGTGTGCCGATTATACTTAAATTTTTAAGAAATAAAATATGGAAGAAAATAATAATAATAATAAAGTTCCAAGCTTTAGAAAGGCTTTGCATTTTGTTACTTGGGTAGTCTTGCCACTTGACAAAATATTCTCTTTGCCAATCTCATTAAAACAGGATTGAATGATTCAAAACAAAACTAACTTCTAAGTCTTAGCTTATCAGAGAATAACTGCACATTTTGAAAGGTTGCTCACCAAATTCCAGTCCATGCTGGTATCTTAACATCAGTTCTCTGACCACACTTAATTTCTGATTTCTATCCATCGTGTGGTACAAGCCTAGTAACCGCGTCAGCTGCACCACACACAAATGCTGCTGCAGAGCTCTGATGTCAGCAGGCAGTGCCAGCTTATCCTCTGTTGGTGTCGACAAAGGAACAACTCCAAGCAACTGATTAATAAACTGCAGAGTGGGGAAAAAAGAGGACAGGTCTCAAAACAGATCTAGTTTTCAGTAGGCCATAATTAAAAAATACTGAAATGGTCTAGAAAAAGATATCAATCAAGAAAAAATAAAAATTAAAACCCCTCTACTATACCATTTTTATTCAACAAACCATCATATTTAAAGTAATGAAATAAAATATACATTGTTTTATTTGATATTTTGATAGTGTTAATTATATTTTAAAGTTAAAGTCTATATTTAATTTTATCAGGTATCTAAATGATTATATATTTAAATATAAGGTGCACTCCACACCTATAAAGCTATATACAGATTAGAGGCCCGGTGCATGAATTCATGCATGGGTGGGGTCCAGCCAACTGCCATGATGGGGGTTCATTGAGCCGGGCAGCAGGAAGAAGGAGACATGGGAGATTGGCCAGCCCCACCTCCAATGGGGGGAGGGGGGGTGACTGGGGAATGAGGCTGGCTGGGGAGAGGGGCCACGAGAGGCTGAGGGGAGGAGGGCCCCAATCAGGTCGTTGGCCACTGCAGTGCACATCATAGTAACTGGTCGTTCCAGTCATTCTGGTCATTCCAATGTTCGCCACTTGGTTTTTATCCTATATAATAAAAGGCTAATATGCAAATCAACCGAACACCAAAACGATTGATCACTATGACACGCACTGATCACCAGGGGATAGATACTCAACGCAGGAGCTGCACCTGGTGGCCAGTGCGCTCCCACAAGGGGAGTACCAATCAGCCAGAAGCCAGGCTCACAGCTGGCAAGCACAGCGGCAGTGCCCAGTGGTGGGAGCCTCTCCCACCTCTATGGCAGAGCCAAGGATATCTAACTGCCAGCTTAGGCCCACTGGCAGTCATCCCCCAAGGGATCCCAGAGTGCAAGAGGGTGCAGGCTGGGCTTTGGGACCCCCCCTCCACCCAGTTTAAGAATTTTGTGCACCAGGCCTCTAGTATATATAGATTATGTATGTGACTATAATTATTAGCAATCAAAATAAATAAAATAATGAAATATATTAGACATTCTAACCACTTTGACTCTATGCTATTTTATTTTCCTCAATTAGAAGTTAGTCCCATTTTAAAAGAATTTGTCTCCTAATTCACTGGGACAACAGTTCCCAGTTTGAACCTTACTGGGCAGTTTGTAATCCTCTTACAAACTGCTGAGCAGCAGAATCCCACATTTAAAAGGTTGTGGCAGCAAATTACCCTCTCAAGGAAAAATTTACATAAAACTACACAACTCATTGCAGCAGCTTTAAATCCTTTGTGTCACAGAACAATGACTACCTTATCATTGCTAGTATTCCAGCATTCCTAGAGGGTTCCTCTCACTACATCACTAGGATGGGATCCCTTGAGATGACCTAGGGTTTTCAAACATATCAGCAAAGCAGAGGGGCTGGTACCAGATTCATACTGCCAAACCTTTATGAATCTCAGTTGATGACAATATAAGTGTTCCTCTAATGCATTCCCATCATTTGATGCTTCAATTAACAAGATGGTAAGCACTAGAAGATATGATCAGTTATTCCCTAGCTTAGCTCTCAGCACATAGTTAAGTGCTACAAACACTGAATGAATCTCTCCCACATGGTTCCATAGTCTGCTTAAATCCCTTCAGTAACATGAAACTCAAACACTAATTTTAGAGAATTCTGGCCACTAACAAGATCTTTTTCTCACTAAATTCCCTGTAACAATTTGCTAGTTGAGTGGAAGAGAAAGGTTTGGTCCTGGTTCTCATCCCTTTCCTACAAGAGAGCTTTCAAATATGAGAAAGTAAGTAACAATACTTTCAAATATGAGAAAGTAAGTAAGAATACTATTCTGCAATAAAAATAAAAAAAATGAATTACTGATACATTTAACAAATGCATGAATCTCCAGGGTATTATGCTGAATGAAAAATGCCAATCTCAAAAGGTTATACATAATATGATTCCATTATATAAAATGGTTAAAATGATAAAATTGTAGAAATAGAAAACATTAGTTGTTGCCAGAGGGTAGGGGTGAGGAAAAGGGGAGGTTCAGGGAGGTGTCTGGGGATAAAAAAAGAGTAGCACATGGGATCCTAGTAGTGAACTGGTCTGTATCTTGGTGGTGGTGGCGATCACATAATCCACATGTATTACATACTGCACTAAAAACACAAAACAGCCCCAGCCAGTTTGGATCAATGGACAGAGCGTCGGCCTGTGGGCTGAAGGATCCCAGGTTCGATTTCAGTCAAGGACACATGTTGGGGCAATCATCAATCAATGATTCTCTTTCATTATTGATGTTTTCTCTCTCTCTCTCTCTCTCTCTCTCTCTCTCTCTCTCTCTCTCTCTCTCTACATATTTATATATATATATATATCCTTCCACTCTGAAATCAATAAAAATAAACAAAAAAACACCACATTCACAAATGAATGCATACAAAACTTGGGAAATTCGAATGTCAGTGGATTTTATCAATACCAATTTCCTAATTATGCTATAATTATGCACTATCTTAGCATTAGAGCAAAATGAGTGATGGGTATACCGTGTTTTCTGCATTATTTCTCTTTGAACTGCATATAAATTTACAATTATCTCAAAAACACACACATAAAAACAAAAAAGGAGAATCTACCTACAAAGGGCTTTTTCTCATTCTTAACTTAACAAGAAATCATGCCTTTAATCTGATAGCCCCTAGAGTACTTGGCTTGATAGGGCAGTTATCTTGATATCTCATGTTTACCACTCTCTCACATTTTAGAAAGGAAGTCCAAACACTTAACCTAGTTACAAATACAGGCACCCAACAGGATTCCAAATAGTACTTACTTTTGTACACTGTGAAGCAGGCAAGAGATCAACAAACACCTTGAGGTCTGTAAAACAGCAAGGTTTATCCCCAAACTTCTTAAAATACTGAAACATTAATTCTTCTGGGTCACCTAAGAGAGAAAAATAAAAACCATTAAATTATTCATGGACTGAAGCAATTTCTAATTTAAGCAAAGATCTGATTTTGAAAAAATCTTTATTTCATTAGATTAAAATTTTGTTTGAATGCGTGAATAAGTGTGAATGAGATTAACAATGAGGGCTGGAAGGTGGCTTGAATAGTTAAAAATAAAAATACTTTTAAACAGAGTAGAATCTTACATTCAGTTTACCTATTAATACACTTAGGAAATGTGAAGCTTCTCAGTCAATTAAAATTTAAACAGTTAAAAAGTTTTCATTAAAGTTTAAAGAGCTATGTTTACATGCAAACATTAAATAAACATGCTTCTCTCTACAACAGTTCCTGAACTACTGCAGAAGTATCACATCAATGTTAATTAAATGAAAGGTAATGTTGGTTAATAGCCATACCAACAGAAGAGAAAATAAGTGGGAAGAACCACAGGCCAATAACTCCAGCAAGATTACCCACTATTAAAATTTTAAACCTCGAAATGCAGAAAGCTACCAGTTCATTTTATTTTTTCCTCAAATTAAAAACAAAACAAAAAATAATAATAAAAATAAAATGTTGTCTAATTGAACTAGATTTAAGAAGCGGAGATTCTAACCATGGAGTAAGATTTTAGGTCCCACTTCCTATTCACATGTCTCTGGGAACAGAGCTCCCTCTAACCAGATTTTCACAGGACTCTGTGATCCCAAAGAGACTGAAAATCACTCACTGGTCTGGTTAAAAAAAAATTTTTAAAAAAAGGTTTTTTTAATTGTGGAGACTAGACAAATTCACTAATTTATAAGATGCGGGCTGACAATAAGGAAGAGAAAGATAGAAGATAAATATATTAAGTGTCAAAGCAGAGCCAAAGACTATTATATCCAGCTTTGTAGAAAAAACAGTAATCTGGAATCTATTTTAATAATATTTTACTACAGGGTCATGCAAAAATTTTCATTTGCAATTCTGGAACTAACATACACAGATTATTGAGGCAGACCCAAGAAAGAGGTTAACATGGAATTCAAAATGGATTGTGAGTAATCTACATAGAGAATGACAGAGAGAAGTTCACAGTTCATTTTAAAAGGAGCTACAAAGAACATTAATTAGATGATTAAAATTAACAAAGCTATTTTAGGACAAAGATATTAGAAATGCTCATCATCCCAAGACAACTGGTCCCTTAAAAAAAAATTGGCTCAGTGATAGAGCGTTGGCCTGCGGACTGAAAAGTCCCAGGTTCAATTCTGGTCAAGGGCATGTACACTGGTTGAGGGCACATCCCTGGTAGGGGGTGTGCAAGAGACAGCTGGTCGATGTTTCTCTCTCATCGACGTTTCTAGCTCTCTATCTCTCTCCCTTCCTCTCTGTAAAAAAATCAATAAAATACATTAAAAAATATCCCTTTTAAACTTTATAAATCTCCACTGAGAACAAAATATTCATAACAATAAATGGAGGAAAAAGATTTCTTTGGAGCTTTATCTTAAAAAATAAAATAGAAAAAATTTTAAAGTTTATTATTTTAAACATAAGAAAACTTAGGGCATTATTATTATAAGTTAACCCTAAGTATTAACAAAGAATTACTGTTTAGGGGGAGAAGGAATGCCATTTTTTCCAACAAAATTATAAACTAACACAATACGACACCTTTCACTTCTTGTGCAATAAGCTAAAACTTTCATTTTATAAAAACATCTAAATGCTTCATCAAAGTTCCTGAAGGCCTATCCTAATGCTTCACTATCCAAACAGTTATTTTCTCCCACATGTCATTATCCTTATAAACTTTATCTTCATTATTGCCATAACTCTGCTAGACAGTCATTCATCAATGTAAATGCTGGGAGACTTTCAATAAAGCTTTCAGATTCTTCAAGAAATTCTGAAACTTTTATGAAACTGGCTATTTTACTTTGAAATTGATTTTTATATTATTAATCAGCAAAAAGAAAAAGAAAATGTCTGACAAAGACTCTGATAGGTAAGGGAGAGATTGAGAGCTAATTTTATAAATGACCCATTCATTAGTAAATATTTTCAGGTTATGGAGACATTTGCTTCCTACACATGACTCAGGTATTGTAGGCTTCAGATAAATGAATGCTGCACTTAGGTATTAAGGGCTTCCCTGTACCTTCTCCAGGGTTCCCAAGTATCACTACAGTTTCTTACCCAGTTTGTACTCATCATTAAAACCTTGACGTCGTAAACGTCTAATCAGCTCCAGTTTAGCTAGATGTGGTCCTCGAAGATGGCGAGAACTTTTAGATTCTTCTGTTATCCGATCTTCTATAAACTTCACAGCTTCTTCAGCAGAATAATGAACTTCTCCTTCTAAAGAGCTGGGTATAAACACACGAAAAAGGTATTTTTGTGCCTCTATTGTCCATTCCAAAAGTTAAAACCACATTTTATATGATTTGAAGAAACATATAAAAAATATAATAAAGCATTTTGATAATTATAAAACTACTAGAGGCCCGGTGCATGAATTTGTGCATGGGTGGGGTCTGGCCACCCCGCCCCAATCGGGGCTGATGGGGTGGGCTGGCTTGGGGGAGAGGATATGGGAGATTGGCTGGCTGACCCACCCCGAACAAGGGTTGGGGGTCTGACCAGAGGGCCATTTAGGCGCAGGGCCGACCAGGGGAAGGGGCCCCAGGTGGTTGGCAGGCCAGCCCCCACCCCCTGCTTAAACTTGGATCAAATTCTGGGTTGAGGGGACAATATGCATATTATACTTTTATTAGATAGGCTACAAATAGAATAAAAGAGCTGTAAGGATGTTCTAGCAGATAACATGGCATATTATTACTCCCAATTGTGGCATTTGATTACTACTGAGTGATTAACCAAATGTACCTCTTTAAAAAAAAAAAAAAAAAAAAAAGATAATTTTTGCAATAAGTTTTACTTTAGCTCTAGTTGCTTTGGCTCAGTGGATAGAGCATATGCCTGTGGACTGAAGGGTCCCAGGTTCAATTCTGGAAAAGGGCATATGCCCTGGTTGTGAGCTCAATCCCCAGGAAGGATGTCCAGGAGGCAGCCGATCAATGATTCTCTCTCATCATTGATGTTTCTAGCTCTCTCTCCCTCTCCTGCCCTCTCTGAAATCAATACAAATATTTTTTAAACATTTTTTTACTTTATAATTTTAAAAAATGGAGGAAAAAATCCTACTTTGCAAGTAATAAAATTATTGACAGGAAAAGAGAATTCAATTAGGCTTAAAATGAAATTTTTTTTGCTATAATATACTTAAAAGTGCTATTGTAAAATAAAAGCAAAAAATAGTAAAACAAAGCAACAACAACAAAACTGGTGCCACTGTAATTCAGGAAGAAGACAACTTACTGTTCACCTTCAGCAGGAGGAGTCCAGGACTCTTCAATCAGTCGAAAGACAGAATCGAAATAAGTCAGATAGAACTGCCAGTCATCTGAGCTAAAAATCAGATTGAATGGTACACACAGGATTAAACACTAGTTGTAACAAATCTGCCTTAGATAGGTACAATGATATTCAACTTATTTCTAAGTTATATTTTAGTCCTTACTAGAAGCCCACCCTTCCCTCTGGGTTTCCTCATCAGCCCCAAAATCACAGCATTCCAGAGGCATTTTAAAAGTAAAACAACTTTCCCTAACCGGTTTGGCTCAGTGGATAGAGCGTTGGCCTGTGGACTCAAGTGTCCCAGGTTTGATTTCAATCAAGGGCATGAACCTTGGTTGCGGGCACATCCCCAGTAGGGGGTGTGCAGGAGGCAGCGGATCTCGTCAATGTTCTTAACTCTCTCTCCCTCTCTCTTTCCCTCTGTAAAAAAATCAAAAAAATATATTATAAATAAATAAAATGGATGCATTAAAAAAAGTAAAAAATGTTTTCAGATACTACTCTTTCCTTCAAAAAAATGACCAGATCTAGAAAATTAATATTCTTAACAGAAAACTCCCCATATTAGCACTTCCTAAATGGGGGGAAAGGGAAGGTTAGATTAATACTGAATATTAAATTTGATAAATGATTTGCAATGTTCATTTTAAAGACCTAATAAGTCTTTACTGAAAGATAATGGTTCATCAAAAACTTTTTTTTTTTAATTTTAAAGTTTTCAGGACATACTTTATGCCCCAAAATTTCAAAAGACATATTAGACAAAGCACATCGATAATGCCACCTAAAAACCCCATTCTAGTCATATAGTGCAAAAAGAAGCATCTACTCACTTTTTCAATAAGAGGCGCCGGGAAAGGGCATTGCACTCTGGCCACCTGCTCAGCTTCTTGTACATAGCCATGCATTTATTTTCCCGACTCTGAATCTCACTAGTCAACTTCTCTACAATTAAAAGTTATAATATTTGATAAGCTAGTTTCATTTCTGTTCAGAAACCAAAATAAAGTCCAAACACAAAAAGGAAAATAACACATTTTCCTCTCTCAGAAAATGGAGGCACCATTAGATACAAACTATTCTCTTATTAAAAAATATTTTACTGAAGAGGAAAGAAAGTACATTTCTGATAATAAACTTTTACAATATTGTTTTCTGTAAAAGACAAGGATCCAAAAAGATAAACAAATAAATCATAAAAGACAAGGATCCAGAATGTATTGAGTTGAGGCTCTAGCATGTGGGATTCACATAGATTCCCAATGGAACCTAGCGATTGGTATAGTTAGTCCACAGACAACGATATCCCATCCATACAGTTCCAAAACAGGCAATAAGCTCAGACTGGAATGGGATGAGCAAAGTGACAGAGATGTAGGAGAAAGATAAAAAATGAATAGAGATGAATCAAACTCCCAGTAGCTGAGAGGAGGAAAACTACAACTATATTTCTGACCGAATTAAATTTGCCCTGTCCTTTCTAACAGGAGAGCAGATTAAGGAAACTGACAATTATTATGAATTTCCTATAGAGAATCTAAATTTAAACTACACACAGAAATACAATCTAGATGAGTAGAAACAGAAAGGCTGGCTTGTACCCATCTGCAAGGAGGCTGAAGTTAAAAGTAATGTTACACATACACACACACACACACACACACACACACACACACACACAAAAACTCCTGCTACATTTTATATAACTGAAGTAGTTAACTATCATTTAGTGTAACAGTTTTATGACTGCAGTCTAATAAAAGATATATATTACATATTTGTATGAAACAAAGTTTTTTTAAATGACTATCAAATGAAAGAACTGAAAATATTCATCTGTAGTTTAATTAATCCCAAAGACTCTAAAAACACTAATAAAAACCAGGTATAGCCGAAACCGGTTTGGCTCAGTGGATAGAGCATTGGGCTGTGGGCTGAGGGGTCCCGGGTTCAATTCCGATCAAGGGCATGTGCACTGGTTGCGGGCTCATCCCCAGTGGGACGTGTGTAGGAGGTGGCTGGTCGGTGTTTCTAGCTCTCTTTCCCTCTCCCTTCCTCTCTGTAAAAAATCAATATAATATTTTTTTTTTTAAAAAAACAAAAACAGGTTAGCTTTGCCGGTGTGGCTCAGTGGTTGTGCGTCAACCTATGAACTAGGTCAAGGTTCAATTCCCAGTCACAGCACATGCCCAGATTACAGGCTCGATCCCCAGTAGGGGGTGTTTCCTTCCCTCTCTGAAATCAATAAAAATATGTTTTAGAGCAAACAAACAAACCCCAGCCAGGTTTACTGAGACAATAACTGCATTTCCAATAATTTCTCCTAAGGAAATCATCACACATGTTTAAATTGGAACCTAAAATCTTTGTCACTCCCTGACCAGGTGGCTCAGTAGGTTGGAGTATTGTCCTATAAATGAAAAGATTCAACTTCTGGTCAGGACACATACCGGGGTTGCTGATTCATTCCCCAAAGTGTTTCTCTCTCACATAGCTTTTTTAAAACAAATAAAAACACTCACAGACACAGACAACAGTATGGTGATTACCAGAGGAAAAGGGGGGTGAGAGAAGGTAGAAGAGGATAAAAGATAGATAGATGGAGATGAAAGGAGACTTCACTTGGGGTGGTGAACACACAGTCCAAAATAGATAAGATGTATTATAAAACTATATGCCTGAAATCTAAATATTTTATTAACCAATGTCACCCCAATAAATTCAATTAAAAATATTTTTAAAAAATAAATAAATGTACAACACAGAAAAGTCTGGAAGAACATAAAATGATCACAAGTGACCTTTTGGTGTCTTTATATCTTTCTGTTTCTGTATGAGAAGAAATTTTCCACAATAAACATTTTTAAACAGGAAAAAAATACTTTAAAACTTTCAAAATTACCTCCTAATTTTCCTCTGATGACATCTAAGGCTTCCTGGTACTTTCCCAAACGCTCCAGGATCATATAATAAAGTTCAACCTTACAGAAAAAAAAAAACAAGGGCAACCACTGAAACTTTCCAATAATAAAAAGACAGCCATGAGGATGTAAAGTATAGCACAGGGAATACAGTCACTAATACTGTAATAACTATGTATTGTGCCAGATGGATATTAGACTTATCGAGAGGGATAACTTCATAAATTACATAAATGTCTAACCGCTATGCAGTACACCTGCAACTAATATAAAATGTTGAATCTCAACTGTAATTAAAAATGAAAAAATAGTCATTTGTACATTTTTAAAAAGTTATCTAATAGAAAAGAACACTATTCTCAAATGAGATGAAATTAACATTAAGAATCAGACAACAGAGTCTTCCCTAGCTATATACATCTCAGACTAGAGTACTTGCTGAAACAGCTCTATGTTAATTATGTCTAAGATAGGGTTTCCAAAGTTTCACAATTACACAAAGGGCAAGAGTGGAGACCCCGCTCTCTAAACAACAGTTCTTAATATTATAATATTTATTGAAGCAATATCAAAATCATACAAATAAAAAGTCAGGCTTAAATTACTCACTTCAGCCTCCGCTTCTATCTTGTCCTCTTTCACCATTTTTTCTACCATTCTCTCAGCAAGGGGCAGAAACATCGTTTTGGAGAGGTTTTCATCCTGTGCTGATATAGACTAGAAGAGAAAATAATAAATGTTTCATTCTAATTTCTCCCTGTCTACACTATATATATATATTACCATGCAGGCCATTACTATGACTCCAGCACATAATTATCATTATACTATGTCAAATATCAGGCCTAATTTGAACCTGCCAAAAAGATATGCTAAAGTGGTTTGCTTTACAAGAGATTTCTTTATTAAAAATTCATTATCCTATGCAATCTTGAAATGCTGAGTTTCCACAACAAGACCTAACTTTTAAATAGATTATTCACACATTTTTCTAGAAATATGTTAAGAGGGAGTATGCCTATACTGTTGATTATATACAAAGAGTATCATCAAGTGTTTGAAAAGCCTTTCACATGTTTTTTTGAGATGTTCATACATTAAAAGAGAAATGCCAATTGTTTATACAGCTTGCTATTAGCCACAATTACCTTAGATTGGTCATTAAAATCAATGAATGATATTAATAATTTTAACACTGCCAGATTCTACTCATAGCTCATTTATCTCCTGTAAACAACCTTTCAGGTAGCTATTATGCTTATTTTATAGATAAAATGATGTTGAGATACCCAACTGCACTCCAAGACATGAGGTGAAGCCAATATTTGAATGCAGACTTGTCTAAACCCAGAGACTCTCTGTTCTTAACCAAGATAGGAGTTACAATTTAACTCCTACCTCCCCATCCTGTCCTACAACATATTTCATTTCGGTCCTTACAGTAGCTCTGGGAGATAAGCATCTCCATTCTGTAAAAGAGCAAACTGAGACTCAGAAAGCAAAAGTGACAAAACAAGGTCACCCAGTTCAATAACCTATGCACTAACCAACAATATTGTCTTAAAGACGAACCTCAGGTCAAAATATCTAACATCTCAAGTTTCATACTTGATCAAATAACCCAGTAATGGATTTAAAATCAGGGGAAATACAGTCTGTGCTACACACAAATAAACCAAAATACCAAATCATAAAGAATACCAAAACTCCCCAACTCAAAAAGTCAACTGACAATATGGAAAGTCCCTGTTTGAGACATGCTGCAACACATGACTACCCAAGGTGTTCACAAGATACCTTAAGGACAATAACTATATACAAATATAAAAGCAAATCTCAATCCCATTGTGAATGCCATACTCACTTGCATAATTAAGCTCATCACAGACCAAAAGTAGTAAGGGTTTTTGGGGACAATCTTATATAGAGTCATGCCAGCCTGAAAGACAGAGAGCCATAAATACTTAATTTAGAAAAGATCATTCATTTTTTGCCCTAAGATTTCTGCCCATTTTCTGAAACTGTGCAGCAATCTGTTACAAGGGAAGTTGAAGCCAACTTACCAGAACCAGACAAAACATACCATCAGGCCACAAAAGAGGAACAACCAAATTTTCCCCAAGGGAAACACTTTTAAAACTTATATAACAGCTTATCTTTAAAAAACACAAAGAAAATAATTGGCTGATCTCTACACAGAAATACATAATTCAGTTCTTCAGATATATGTAAATGCGTACATGTGCATGTACACACATCACTGCAGTAAAATCACATTAAAGAGACTTTGACCACTAACAGCAAATCCTGCAGCCCAGGAGGTTGGAGATGAAGTTACCTGTTGCATTTTCTTGTATTCGCCCACTCTGGCATAGGCCATGAAGAGGTGAGAGTGATATTCCTCACTACTGGGAACTTTTTTCACAGCTGCCTCATAAAGTTTTGTAACTAACTCCGCTAAAATAAAGAGCAATAAGATTTTCGTTCATTACTGAAGTATAACTTAAATCTTAACAGCATTTCATTTTTTATATTAATAGCAAAACTAATTATTCATTACTCAGAAAAACATATGGTAAAGACGTAAAGAAAAGCAAGAGAATAAAAAATATTCAGGACAGCAAGTATCTCTTGGAAAATAAACAGTAAGCATTCTTAGTACTGATAATACTCTATTTCTTATGTTGAGCAGTAAGTTCGTGAATGTTCATTATTCCACATCAAACTGTCTAGTGTTACATCAAATATATGCTTCTATAATATATATTAAGAAAAACAACTATTATTGCACAATAAAATATTCAAGATATTCTTACAGATGAAATGGCAGATCATGTAGAATATCAGAAATAATTTATCAAGGGGAGAAGTATAGATAAAATTGATCATGTAAGTTCAGTAATGAATATAATGGGATTTATTATGCTACTCTCCGTTTTTGTCTATATTTGAATTTTTCTCGATTAAAAAGTAAAGAAAGTGGCCCTAGGCAATATGGCTCAGTTGGTTGGGCTTCGTCCTGTGCGTGGGGGTTGGGGTGCCAGTTAGATTCCTGGTCAGGGAGGATGCCCAGATTTCAGGCTCAATCCCCAGCAGGGGGAATGAAGGGGCAGCCAATGGATGTTACACTCTCAGATGGATGTTTCTCTCTCCCTTCCTTTCAAATAAAAGCACCAATCAATTAAAAAATATATATTAAAAAAAAAAAAAGTGAGCCCAGCCAGTGTGGCTCAGTGGATGAGTGTCAACCTATGAACCAGAAGGTCATGGTTCAATTCCTGGTCAGGGTCAGGGCACATGCCCAGGATGCAGACTCAATCCCCAGTGTGGGGTGGGCAGGAGGCAGCTCTCATCATTGATGTTTCTCATCATGGATGTTTCTATCTCTCTTTCCCTCTTCCTTCCTCTCTGAAATCAATAAAAATAAATATTTTTTAAAAATTTACTTTAATTAAAAAAAGGTGAAAAATGGGTAACTCTCCCACTTAGCAAATCATAATGCCACAAATGACACTGAAGTGCTCATTTTCAATTCAAGGATCCTAATACACAGGGGGGGGGGGAAATCCTTTCTGTCCACAGTCTTCAGAAATCCTAATTAATGCATTTATTTTACTTTTGCCATCCACTCAAATCCTGAGTAATAAGCAAATGAGACAAATAGAGAACTCAACCAGAAATAACCAAAAACTTAAGCTCAGATTTAAAACCAAGGAAAAGAAAGAAACATACGACGATGCATCTCCCGGTAAAGAATAGTCAGTGCCTGCAGCGAGTTATCATCTGTGGGTTCAAGGGCTGCCACCTCCTGTGCCAAGGTAAAGGCTTCCTCTTGCTTCCCAGTTCTCTGTAATCCAATGGCCTTTAACACCTGCAGAAAGAAAAGACTAATCAGGTTGAAAAGGAACTATAAAAAGCCAGTTTGAAAGCACACAATAAGTCGTAAGGTATACCTAGATTGCTAATCAATTAAACCATTTTACTAAAAATATGAACAGATCAGGAATCTTTTCTATTCCAGCCATATTAAGAATGCAAGCCCTGGCCAGGAGGCTCAGTTGGATAGACCGTCATTTCAATAGGCCAAGGTTTTGGGCTCAATCCCTGGTAGGGGAAAATACAAGAGGCAACTAATGAATGCATGAATAGGTGGAACAATGAATCAATGTTTCTCTTTCTTCCTCTCTCTCTAAAAAATCAATAAGCATGTCCTCGGAAGATTAAAAAAGAGAAAGGAGGGGAAGGGAGGAAGATCTGGGGGAGATAATAGATCAACCGAAGGACTTGTATACATGCATATAAGTACAACCAATGGACATAAAACTCTGGGGAGGGAGGGGAGGTGTGGGAGGGAGGGAGGGGGGGTAAAAAAAATCAATAAAATATGTAAAAAAATAAAAAAAATAAAATAAAATAAAATAAAATAAAATAAAAAAATAAAAAATAAATAAAAAAGAGAAAGGAGCCCTAGTAAGTTTGGCTCAGTGGATAGAGCACCAGCCTGTGGACAGAAGGGTCCCTGATTCTGGTTAAGAGCACATACCCTGGTTTGTTTGAAACTGAAACTAGCAATGAAGAACAACTGATGCCTAGGTTCCATGAGCTATATATCCATTCCTAATCTTAAGGAATAAGGGGAGAGGGGAAAAAAAGGAATATGAGGACCTATTATAAAATTGTGCTAAGGGCAATCTGTTATCATTCAAAAGTCTAATGGTTGTAGGCTCCTCCTGAGCCCGGGCCTTGGTAGTGGTGGGCAACCAATCAATGTGTCTCTCTCTCATTGATATTTCTATTTTCCCTCTCTCTTCCACTCTCTCTAAAAAAATCAATGGGAAAATATCCTCAGGTGAGGATTAGAGAGAGAGAAAGAGAATGCAAAACATTGCTTAAAAGACTGTAAAAATAAAATAATTAAATTAGATAAGTTATGCTCAAAGAATTAAATAGCTAGTTTCTAACTCAATGCTACTCATAGCATTTAAATGATCAAGAAAAGGGGGGGGGGGCAATGGTAAGATATGTACACATATAATATCTTAATAAAAAAATTAAAAAAATAAATGTCAAGAAATACTCTGAAAATTACTAAAGAGATTAATTAAACATCTTTCTCCCTTAAAGTCAAAATTACAATATATAACCCAACAAATCTAAGTTCAAGGGCAAATGAACTTACCTTAGCACAATGAAGATCCTTATGTTTCTTCAATAATTTATCTGCTTGTTGAATTGCCATTTTATTATTACCATTATCAAGATAATCTATAAAAACAGAAATTATGATAGTTTATTCCTTCAACAACAAATATGAAAAATGGATAGGCTGGTATCAAATGTTTCAAAAAGTATAATAATTCCGTATTACACACACACTTCATGGAGCTCTGGCTGGGTAGCCCAGTTGGTTAGAGCTGCATCCCCATATACCACCAAGGTTGTGGGATCGATCCTTAGTCAAGGCACATACAAGAATCAACCAATGGCCCTGGCCAGTATGGTTCAGATGGTTGAGCATCATCCCCTGCACTGAGAGGTCACCATTCGATTCCCAGTCAGGACACATGCCAAGGTTTCGGGCATGATCCCCAGAGGGGAGGCATGCAGGAGGCAACCAATTGATATTTCTCTCTCTCCTTTTCCCTTCCTCTCTCTCTAAAGCCAATAAAAAAAAACATCATAGAGCTCATTTTCACTCTAAATAATCAGGATGGTCCAAAATACCACTTTATATCCCTACAGCCATCTCTCATCCAAAAGCACTATAATCAGTTATTGTAGTCCTTAATGAAGATTAAAGATATATTATATGATAGATGACATCAATTATATTTTTACCTATGATTAAACAGGTTTAGTCACCCAAAAATTAAATTTTTTTTTTAAAAAAGAATCCTTTCTAGTATCAAAGCTTTAAAATTATCAAATAGATAATGTTCCTTCAATAAAATGTTTAATTAAGTACTTACTTTACCACAAAGTATAATTTTCTGAGTTAGAAAATAAGAGAAAGTTTTACCTATGGGAAGTGGGGAGAAATGGAAGAGATAAAGTCTAAAATATCAGGAGTGGGCAAGGATGCAGAAAGAAAAGCATTTTCAAATAATGTTTGAAACTGAAATTAGCAATGAAGAACAACTGACGCCTAGGTTCCATGAGCTATATATCCATTCTTAATCTTAAGGAATAAGGGGAGAGGGGGAAAAAAGGAATATGAGGACCTATTATAAAACTGTGCTAAGGGCAATCTGTTATCATTCAAAAGTCTAACAAAAGCTAAGATTTCTTTCCAGCTGAGAACTAGAAGAAAATGAGAGGTATTTTAAATGGGAAATGGTGCAGCTGTCAATTCTAAGTATAGAATGACTAAACAGAGGCCAACCACAACCTACTATACTAATTGCAGATCCCTCTTTGCATATCAAGGTCCCATAATGAGGCAAAGATAACTCAAAATAATCTATTGTGCAACAATGAGAGAGCAACAGCAACTCTCATTCATTGCTGGTGGGAATGCAAACTGATACAGCCACTTTGAAAGACAGTTTGGTGGTTTATTTAAAAACTAAACATATTCTTCCCATATGATCCAAAAATTGTGTTCCTTAGTATCTACCCAAATGAGCTGAAAACTTACTTCCACACAAAAACCTGGACACAAATGTTTATAACAGCTTTATTCATAATTGTTAAAACTTAGAAGCAACCAAGATGACCTTCAATAGGCTAATGGATAAACAAACAGAAGTATGATGGAATATTACTTGGCAATAAAAAAAAAAAAAAAGCTATTAAGTCACATAAAAAACATGATGGAAGCTTAAATACATATTGCTAAGTGAAAAAAGCCAATCTGGCCTTGGCCAGGTAGCTCAGTTGGTTGGACTATTGTCCCAAGGGTTGCAGGTTCAATTCCCAGTAGAAGGCACACAAAATAATCAACTAATAAATGCATAAATAAGTGGAACAACAAATTGGTGTTTCTCTTTCTCTCTCTCAAATTAATAAGATTTTTAAAGGCCAATCTATAAAGCTATAAAGGCCACATATTATATAATTCCAACTATGTGACATTGTGGAAAAGGCAAAAATTATACAATGAGTGATTGTCAGGGACTGAAGGAGGAATGAATATGTGGAGCACCGGGGATATTTAAGGCAGTGACACTGTTCTGTATGATACTGTAATGATAGATGCATGTCATCATACATTTGCCAAAACCCATATAATGTACAACACAAAGAATGAACCATAGCCCAACTGGTGTGGCTCAGTGGTTGAGTGTCAATCTATGAACCAAGAGGTCACCAGGTCGATTCCTGGTCAGACACATGTCTGGGTTGTGGGTTTGATTCCCAGTAGGGGGGTATGCAGGAGACAGCCACTCAATTATTCTCTCATTGTTTTTCTCTCTCCCTTCCTTTTTGAAATAAATATCCTATATAATAAAACCCTAATATGCAAATCAAACTAATAGCAGAACAGCCGACAGAACGACCAGTAGCTATGATGTGAACTGACCACCAAGGGGCAGACACTCAACACAGGACCTTCCCCTGGTGATCAATGCTTGCTCAAGTCAGAAGTTTGCTCAAGGCTGGCGAGCATAGCAGTCTGTGGTGGTCGAAGCCGCTGCTGCCTCTGCTGCAGGCAGGCAGTAAGGAGCGAGGAGTCCAGGACTGCAAGAGCCCCAGTCTGTGAGAGGACTGTCTGACTGCAGGCTATCCCCTGAGGGGTCCCAGACTGCGAGAGGGCACAGGCCAGACTGAGGAACCACCCCACACACCCCTACATTCCCCCCACCTCGTGCAAGAATTTTGTGCACTGGGCCTCTAGAATATATATAAAAGAATGAACCATAATGTAAAATAGTAAACCATATATTTTAATTATTAATAAGCTATTACTCAGTTACTTTAACAAATACAACACACTAATACAAGGTGTTAATAATAGGAGAAAGGAATAGAGGGGAGGAGAGTGGGGATATATAGGAACTCTATTTTCTGCTTATTTTTCTGTAAATCTAAAACTACTCTAAAAAATAGTTTATTAATACAAAATAAATTTAATAATAATAAATTTAAAAATAATAAAAGCATGGATTCATTTCCAGAGAAGGAAAATGAGAAATAAGTGGGATATAGGGTGGTAGTTGCCAATTCTAAATATAGAAATATAACTGAACACAGACCAATTCTTTTTTTTTATTATTGATTTTTCACAGAGAGGAAGAGAGAGGGACAGAGAGTTAGAAACATCGATGAGAGAGAATCATCAATCAGCTGCCTTTTGCACACCCCCTACTGGGGATGTGCCCGGAATCAAACTCGGGACCCTTCAGTCCGCAGGCCGACGCTCTATCCACTGAGCTAAACTGGTCCCGGCCACAGACCAATTCTTAATTACCACTACTGGTTCCTCACTGCTCATCAAATCAGGTCCCAAATCAGCATAGGAATAGAGAAGGCATAAACAACTCAAAATAATCTAAGGTCCTGGTGGCCTAGAGTTCTCCGAATAACAGAAATAGACTATCATTTTACCTATTGGTTTCAATTTTTCTCCAATAAATAATTACTAAAACTTGACAGACGTATAAATACATGAGTTTCATCTATTTAGTCCTCAATGCACTTAATATTGATGAGCACCAATAATGCTAGGTAAGAAGATTAAAAAGAAGCCTTACTCTGGAGGAAATCACAATGTAGGGGAAAAAAGAGTCTTATTGTGAATGGAATCACAACCTATAAAGGAAAATCAAAGACTTAATAGTCAGGTAGAGAAACTGGAGAATCAAAGAACTCTAAAAGCATGCAATCTTGGCCTGAATACCCAGACATGTAATACCAGTTTTCTTAAATCCTTAGCTTAGCTAATAAGCCTTCATTTGACCTTTGTAAAATATGACAGAGATACTTCAGCTCAATAAATGGCAGTTCTTCCTAAATACTTGATGCTGACCTCATGCTGAGTCAGTTCTAAGTTACTCCTGACTCAGTCCTGAAAGATTCCAGGTTTACAGAACATATCCTAAGCTTTCTCAAAGAGTAGACATCTTTGATGAGACGCCATATCTGAGAACTGCCCAGAAATGGAGCAAGCCAGAGTCAGGACTACAAGGACACTGAACTTTTCCCTCTATTGTTGACAAGGCTCTGAAATTGCTGCCCCTACCTGCTGATGCCCTCTCCTCGGAAATGGTTCCTACTGCCCTCTGCTGAAGCAGTATGGCTGGATGACATGTCTAGACCATGAAATTGTAGCCCAATGCAGTGGACATTTGACCCAAGCTGGATAAATCAGGTTTCTTCCTGATAATCTGAAACTGTAGCACTGAAAGCTGGAGTCAGAAGGTTGGAGTCGGAAAGCTAAAGCTCATTTGGAAAGCTATAAATATGAGTCTGAGATTACCAGTAGCAGCTCAGGAATTTCTGGTTTTGTTGTGGGGTTTTTTTTTCTTCTGTTTTTGAAGGAGCCTTAGTTAGAGATGCAAGTTAGTTGATGGAGAGTGAAGAAAATGAGTTATTTTTTGATTCTTCATTCACATAACATTTATAAAATAAAATAAAAATTCACCATAGCTGGTTTGGCTCAATGCTGGAGTATCTTAGTTAAAACTTTCAGGTTCGCCGTAACCGGTTTGGCTCAGTGGATAGAGCGTCAGCCTGCAGACTGAAGGGTCCCAGGTTCGATTCCGGTCAAGGGCATGTACCTTGGTTGCAGGCACATCCCCAGTAGGGGGTGTGCAAGAGGCAGCTGATCAATGACTCTCTCTCATCTATGTTTCTAGCTTTCTATTTCTCTCCCTTCCTCTCTGTACAAAATCAATAAAATACATTTTTAAAAAACAATAAATAAATTTAAGTTAAAAAAATCTATTTAGTGAAAAATATTACATAAATAATAATATAGACAATACTATAATATAGCTAAAATAATCAAATTAGGTAAAAGAATGATAGAAATTTGGGAAACATTACGTCAAGTCATTGGCAACAGACTATCAAATTTGCTGAATGAGTGAGCAAGCCACTTTCCTTGGTAACACTTCCAACAGAAACTCCTCTCCCATGCAGATAACAGACAGACAGCTGCAGGCCCTGACACATGCGGCCTGCTGTCTGCTTGCCCTGAAGAGGCCCTAGGAATAATTAGTCCAGGCTTACTTAGGGATACTGTCAGTAGGAAAGGGATCAGTCTTGCAAATAAAAAAGAAAAGGCTTTAAGTTCTATGTTCTTGCAGCTGCCGTGAGTTTCCAGAGCAGCTGAAACGACAACCTGCAGAGTTCCCACTTCCTACAAGGGCTTCAGAGACTAATAAAGACACTGCTCCGATTTAGAAAAAGACTGAATACAAAATAGCTCCATAGTTAAATTACAATGTCCTTTACTTAAAAATCTTAAGTGTTTATGAATAGGATCCTAGCTTTTACCAAGAATACAAAGGATAGGTGAAACATGCTTTCAGTCAACAAGCCTTTAATTAAATGTGAAGATGAGGAGGGGGGTGTCGAATTTTAAAAATAAATAATGCCTCTTTTTTTAAAAAAAATATTTTATTGATTTTTTTCACAGAAAGAAAGAGGGATAGAGAGCTACCCTGTTTCCCTGAAAATAAGAGTGTCTTATATTAATTTTTGCTCCCAAAGATGCGCTAGGTCTTATTTTCAGGGGATGTCTTATTTTTCCATGAAGAAGAAATCGGTACACATTTATTGTTAAATGAAAATAAAGGAAATTTATTACCTGTATACGGTACGGTAGTACGGTAGTTGTCAGCACAAACCAGACAAACTGTAAATCCTACAGTATCAAGAATTTACTCATTTATTCATTGACAATCATGTCATCATCTTCTGGAACATCATCATAACAATCCAATTCCTGAATTTCCTGGTGAATTTCTTATGAGTCCATTTCTTTCAGAATCAGTGGACCAAATCTCTCATGTTTAGCCTAGGGGGGGCCTTATTTCCGGGGAGATGCCTTATATTTCACTCAGAAGGAAACCTGTAAGTAGGTCTTATTTTTGGAGGATGTCTTATTTTCGGGGAAACATGGTAGAAACATCGATGAGAGAGAATCATCAATCAGCTGCCTCTTGCACACCCCCACTGGGGATGTGCCCGCAACCAAGATACATGCCCTTGACCGGAATCGAACCCGGGACCTTTCAGTCTGCAGGCCGACGCTCTATCCACTGAGCCAAACCGGTTTCGGCTAAATAATGCCTCTTAAATGATCATCTCACACCCTACATTTGCCCCCTCCCCCATTTAAGTTATTTCTCCACACAATATTCAGAACTACCTTTAAAATAAATTTCCAAATCCTTAGATGCTAACATGGTACAAGCTTCTTTTATACACTCACTCTCTCCATCCTTTTCTATCTGGAAAAATGTCCTAACTCACCACAGGAGTGATTATCAATCAGAAAACACAACTGGTAAATATGTTACACCTAATCCAGACTAGAGGAAGACTGCAAACTAGTAAAAACAGTTTAGAACAAAGATCTTGTATCAGAAAAGTAAGAGAAAGAGAGAGAGAATCCTAAAAACTGGGAATATTTTCTCTTTCACATTTTCCTGTTTCTATATTGTAATTGCTGACCCAGCAGTTCCTATGTTCAGACCATCACTCCTACCATTCCCCTAACCACTAAAGACATTTCAAAACTACTAATAATGGTAGAAGAAAGCCCTGGTTCCCACCAAATCATACCAGAGTACAAGTCAGTTGAGAACCACATAGCACATGAGAATCATTTTAGCAAAAGGAAGAGTGAATAATAAAGCAGGTGTTCTAGTAAGGCCATGGGTGATTTTCAAAAACCAAAAATGCAATACCCAAACTTGCCAATTTATGAGTAATAAGATGCACCCTAAAGATGTTTCAACTAACCGCCTTTATGCAAAGAAAAACTATTATAAACGTAGATACTGAAAATAGAATGTAAGTTCCTCACATCTCATCCCATCACAATTATTTCACAATTATTCACCCTTACAGCCCTGTCCACTTCTACCCCAAACAATATTCAGCAAGAGCTGAAGACAGTTCAACAGTTGTAAGATCCTAAAACTTTGGCAATACAAATAATGCTATACAAAGATAGTGATGTTACTGAATCTGAAATCTATAAAGGGTTGGTCTCTCCTGTGAGAATGCCTGTGTTCAAATCCCAGCTCTGAGCAAAGCTAATCTCTGGTCTTCAGTTCATAACCACCTACTAGGATAGCACACAAATAAGCACTCAATGCTGACAGCCTTTGAACTTTTGGATGGTGGGCAAGCACCACCTTGAGTGAGCTTGTTCATTTGAATGTCTGAATTCAAGGAATGATAGTAGTTTGGGGTACTAATGGATTTAAACACAAAAGCAGGGGCTGTCGGTCAAAAGTCCACTAACAGTCCGCACCCTTTCTTTTCCTATTCCTATCAGTTCATATTAATCACCTTGGAATTCCTAAAAAGCCTCTTCTAATCCTCTTCCCACACAACTATAACTAACGCTTCTAATTCTGTCTTCACTTTTAAGAATATGACATGTCACTTCTGGTTAACACATCCTGCTGTTTATCAATGTAAAATGGACAAGGTTTTTCTTCTTGGATTAGCTCAAACACTATTAATTCTAAATGACTTATGGGGCACCAAAGGCATTTTCTTTGGTCTTCAAGAACAACTGTGGAAATCCAATTATTCTTAAAAATATTGAATCTTGCTTTTGGGGGAAGACTTTCACTGTGTGTTCGCATCATTTGCCTTCACTCAACATTCCAAATAATTTGGGGGAGAAGAGGCTTTAGTTGGGCAGTTAACAATGCTTTTGGTTCCTTTAATTGGCAAGAAGTTGGTAAAGTGAGTGATAACACTATTTTTAGAAGATAAGTGACTGCCCTTTGGAGAACAGGGGGACAGGGAACAGGGGGAGAGAAATGCAAATTCTCAGGCATAGCCCCAGATCTGTCTTAAGAACCGGTAGAGTAACAGAAGGTTCCATTGGCAAGATGGCCCCATTGAAATTTGTAAGGAACTGCAGAAGACTGAGATGGACAGGTTTATTAGGACAGTATGGTTTTGAACCTGAGAGACCAGAGACCCTTTCAGAATGCCTATGAGGTGGAAAACTGTCACAATGAAACTAAGATGTTACTTCGCCTTTTTCATCATTCTCCAAGTGTATTTTCTAACCACATAACTGAATGAACAGAAAATAGAAGCCCATGAAAACCTACATGTCTTTCATTAAAGACAGCCGTTCCTAATGTATTATAATAATTTATGAATTATAATAACGATGACTATATACTAAAAAAAGTGTTGAATCTTTTTAGTTAAAAAATAAAAAGCAGCCACTGCACAGAACTGTAATGAGCCACTTACTGCAAACCCTGGATACAGTTCTTGCCCTCCATCACCCTTGCATATTTCATCCTTCCCCTCTGAAAATTTATACTGGAGAACTTGAGAGGATGCAGCCCTGGGGAAGTGAAAATCAAGAGTCCTGTCTTTGCCACTCACCACCAGTGTGACCTGTGTGTGGCAAGTCACTATCTTCAGCTCAAAGTGAGGTGGTTTCTAGCACAATGGTTATCAGGGTGAGCGTGGGACCATCCCCAGGGTTCAGGGTTCAGGTCCTAGCTCAACCAAATGTTAGCTGTATAACTGCAGACATATTAGCACATCAATAAAGCCCAATATCCTCATTTATTAAAAAAAAAAAAAAAAAAAAAAAAAAAGGCGGGAGGAGCTGGGGGAAAAAGCTACCCATCTCATAAGAGTGCATGAAGATTAAATAAGATAACCCATATAAAAAGCCAAGGACAGCGGCCGACATAATTAGGAGTCTACACACATTAGCTATTATTACTTATCTCACTGGATTGTTTTTGGAATCAAATGAGATGTGAGGGTAAAGCATCATACAAATGACAAAAATAAAAGCAAGACCAATTGTGCCAGAAACATTGTTACCCCACTCCCCAGAAAAAGTTAAATGATCTCGGCCATTCGGCATTCGGAGAAGCCTCCGTTTAGTAGTATCCACGCTAAAAAAAAAAAAAAAAAAAACCTCTAATTTTGCAAAAAAAAAACACTGACCTTGAAAAGCCTTCTTCAACATTAACTGAGATAGGCCAAACCCATACAACCATCTAAGGAAAGGAAAGGAAATGCAAAGGGGACCACGGTCCAATTACAGAACATCTCCGTTCCTGAAAAGGTGTTTCTCCCTGACTCAAACCTGGGGTGGCAGGATGCCACCGAGGTCTTAAAGCCTGGGGGCTGAGGGAGGCGGGAAGGATGGAGGGGATCCACCGAGCGCGCGAAGGCGGGCTGCAGAGAAAGCCAGCAGGGCTGCAGAGAGGAAATGCCCTTGCAGCAGCCCTGCAAGACCCTCCATCGCGATCTACCAGTCTCTGCGCCGCTATTTTGGGCCCAAGACACCCCGCACCCCAAACCCCCTCGCTGCCCACGTGTGCCCAGAGCAGCTGTGTCTCCACCAAAGACCTCGCAATGGGGAGCCTCGAATCAGGCCTGCTCTCATTCGATCTGGGTGACCTTGTGTCAGACCCTTCCCCTCTTTGGACCTCTTTCTCCACAGACAACCCCCTAGGCCTGGGTTCCCGCAATTAAAGGATCATTCGTGAGGAATAGTCCCTCAGCTTCCACCCGCGGGGAGATGTCGGGGCTCCCTCGGTGTGGCTCTCACAGAGGCAGCCGACGGGCGGCGCAGGTCTCAGCGAGAGGAAGTGTCTCCGCTCTGCCGCCCCGCCGCCGCCCCGACCGAGCCGCCGCCACCTCAGGGCTCAGGAAGGCCCGCCGGCGCCTACGCGAGGCCCGTGGCTGCGGCCTAGAGGCCCGCGCGGCCCGCCCCCGGCGCCCGCGGCCCCCGCTCCCGGACTCTCGGCGCCGCTTCTGGGCCTTGGCCCCGGTCTCGGTACCGCTCGGCAGCCCTGGGCGCTTCCGGGCGGCGACCAGGCTGGCCACAGGCACTCACCGTAAATGGGCCGGAGGCGCCTGTCGTTAGGGTCCTGCACATGGCCCCGTGTCGCCATGATGACAAGCGCAGAACCGCAGTGCGCACGCGCGGGGCAGGCCTCCAGGAAGGGGCTGTTAAAGGGCCAGCGCCGATCTCGCTCGTCTATCGCGATGGGTCGCGGCCGAACGCACCTGCGCGGGAAGCGCTGCTGCCTCGCCCCCCGTTGGAAGAATTGCCTGATCAATAGAAACTTTCTCTCTCCTTTTTGGACGGCGCAGTCCACCGAGCTAGTCGAGGCGGCTGTTGCTGTTTGAAATCCCTTCCGAGTCACCTACTGGGGCGCGAGAACGGGAGGGGAGACGCTCTTGGTCAAAGTTGGGGCTCAGCCGCTCCTGCTTATCCTATTTATTCTCTGTGCTTCATGAAGGACCAGTTAGACTTGTCTTTAATTGTTGAAGAACCAGGAAATCCTCTGGGAGGATGAGTTCCAGACCCCTTCACCCCTTTCTCGGGGTTCAGCCAACTGAGAAGCCTCTTAGGATGAATAGTAATACTTCAGTAAAGCTGGAGGGAAAAAGTAACTCAGCCAGTATGCATTGCAGGCACTTAATTTTTTTATTATTAAATTATTATCTGTGTACATATTTTACCATTGTCCCCCCTCCCATATATACCCCCCCCCCAGGGTTTTGTGTCCATTGGTTGTATTTATATGCATTGCAAGCACTTTAAATATATTATCTCTTTAAACCCTCGTATCTTCCTAGGAGGTAGATATTATTATCTTCCTTTTTTTAAGATATAGTTTATTGATTTTTTACAGAGAGGAAGGGAGAGGGATAGAGTTAGAAACTGGGGATGTGCCCGCAACCAAAGTACATGCCCTTGACAGGAATCGAATCCGGGACCTTTCAGTCTGCAGACAACGCTCTATCCACTGAGCCAAAACAGTTTGGGCTACCTTCTTTCTTTCTTTCTTTTCTTTTTTTTTTTTTTTTTTTTTTGATCAGTGGGTTTATTCATACATATAGCTATTGAGTGCTTATTATGTGGCATGCTCTGTTGTAGGCACGAAGGATACACCAATAAACAAACAGGCCGAAACCGGTTTGGCTCAGTGGTAGAACGTCGGCCTGCGGACTGAAAGGTCCCGGGTTCGATTCCGGTCAAGGGCATGTACATTGGTTGCGGGCACATCCCTGGTACGGGGTGTGCAAGAGGCAGCTGGTCGATGTTTCTCTCTCATCGATGTTTCTAGCTCTCTATCCCTCTTTCCTCCTCCCTGTAAAAAAATCAATAAAAAATATATTTAAATATATATATTTTTTTAAAAAGATACTTTTATTAACAGTCTAAAAATAAATAAATAAACAAATAGACCATCTTTGGTGGGGTTTTACTTATACTGGGGAAGACAGGCGATTAAATGAGTAAAATAGATGTACAGGTGGGCAAAAGTAGGTTTACAATTGTGAGTACATGAGTTAAGGCTACTGTAATATAATCACAAACTGCATGCTTCCTCTCTCTACCTCTCCCTTTCTCTCTCAAATCAACTTTAAAAACCACTTTTTAAAAAGAAAGAAAGAAAGAAAGAAAGAAAGAAAGAAAGAAAGAAAGAAAGAAGAAAGAAAGAAAGAAAGAAAGAAAGAAAGAAAAGAAAAGAAAAGAAAAGAAAAGAAAAGAAAAGAAAAGAAAAGAAAGAAAAGAAAAGAAAAGAAAAGAAAAGAAAAGAAAAGAAAAGAAAAGAAAAGAAAAGAAAAGAAAAAAAGAAAGAAAGAAAGAAAGAAAGAAAGGTCAGGAGCCTCAGGTAAGCTGACTCCAGGATCACTCAGAGATGGATGTGGCCAGGTATGACCAGGCTCAGGTTGAGCTTGCCAAAGGGAGAGGAGGGAGGAGACCAGGCTCAGGTTGGGTGAAGAGGAACAATACTTGTTCATCGTTGAGGCACATGAAAGAGCCAGTGAGTCACCTGAGTTTTAAACGTTTCCCAGAATGGAAAAACACAGCACCTACAAGGGGCCCAGGGGGGCTCCTGGCCAGGTCTGTGGTTACCCGGCTAGGTTCTTAGGTTACCTTTGTTGGTCTGGCCCCGTGAGGAATGCTGACAGGCTCAGCACCCGGTTCCCTAATTTGGCAGGGCTAGAGCATTATGGACCTACTTAACAGAGGCCCCTAGATATTTGAGTCACCTTTCTGGGTGGAATATATTTCTCTCCACCCTGAAAGCCTGTTTGGCATCCAACTAGGATGAATTGGCCTTTTTCTTTTCCCATTCCTACCCCTTGTCCTCAGAGCCTAAGGCTGAAGCAGTGACCTGGCTCTGGGCCTGTCCTTACCTGCTCCCCGAGAGACAGCTCCACACCCTTTGGAAGGTGTGAATCATTTCGGGTAACAAATGAGATGATCCCACCCCACCCCAGAAAGCCAAAAACACCATTTTTCTTGCTGTACAATTCAGAACGCAGAACAATGAGAGCTGACATGGGAAAAGGCCATAACATTTAGGTGCTCATTACATGATGCTTTCCATTTTCTTAACTTAGAACCAGGGTACGCCCTTCATTCTTGTCCTGGTTAGTGGCAGATTTGCTCTGGTGAGAAACCCTCTGGATCAAGGGCAGTGGCACCCATAGGTGCATTGTGCCTGAAGAGCTGGGGACTCAGGGCGGGTACGGCATTACCTGGATATAGTGACTGTGGGTATCTCCACCCGCTGACTTTTCTGGTTTTTGTTTTTCTTTCCCATCTTCTGCATATGCTCCTATTTAATCTTAGTAATACTCCTAAGAATAAACAGATCACTGCATATTTCATAGTTTTTATAACTGATTTCCTGCCCTTTTGACAGAAATAGAAACACCAACTCTGACTCTGAAATCAAACCAGACTTAGATCAAAATCTGGACACTGCTATGTATCCACTGTGTGATCCTAAGCATGTGACTGAACATCTCTGAGCCTTAGTTTCTGCATTGGTAAAATTATGATACTAAAAGGACCTACCTCACAAGGTTGATATGAGGAATAAATTCTGTGGTTTATGAAAAGAAACAAGCAGCCAAAACCGGTTTGGCTCAGTGAATAGAGCGTCAACCTGCAGACTGAAAGGTCCCAGGTTCGATTCCGGTCAAGGATATGTACTTTGGTTGTGGGCACATCCCCAGTATGGGGTGTGCAGGAGGCACCTGATCTATGTTTCTCTCTCATCGGTATTTCTAACTCTATCTCTCTCCCTTCCTCTCTGTAAAAAATCAATAAAATATATTTTTTAAAAGAAAAAATAAATAAAAAGAAACAAGCAGAAAGAAAGCACTCAACAACAGTTACATGCTATAACCATTTTTAATATTATTACTCCCTTCTCTTAAAACTGCAGAAATCACCTTCTGACAAATCAACAAACAACAAGTGCTGGCAATGATGCGGAGAAAAAGGAACCCTATTGCATTGCTGGTGGGAATGCAGACTGGTGCAGCCACTGTGGAGAACAGTATGGCTGTTTTAAAATTAAAACTGGAACTGCCATTTGATCCAGTAATCCCACTTCTAGGAATATATCCCAAGAAAACAGAAACATCAATCAGAAAGGATATATGTACCCCTATGTTCATAGCAGCACAATTTACCATAGCTAAGATTTGGAAACAGCCTAAGTGCCCATTAGCAGATGAGTGGATTAGAAAACTGTGATACATCTACATAATGGAATACTACACTGTTATAAAAAAAGAAGGAATTCTTACTATTTGCAACAACATGGATGGACCTGGAGAGCATTATGCTAAGTGAAATAAGCCAGTCAGAGAAAGATAAATATCAGATGACCTTACTCATTTGTGGAATATAATGACCAACATAAACTGATGAACAAAAATAGGACTAGAGTCATAGAAACATCCACAGACTGTCCAACCTATGAGAGAAGGTTGGTGGGGGGAGAGGGGGAGGGTGAAGGGGTCAGAGATCAACCAGAGGACTTGTATGCATGCATATAAGCATAACCAATGAACACAGATGGGGGTGGGTGATGAGGGCATTGCTGGGGAGGTTGGAGGGAGGGCGGGGAAAGGTCAATGGGTGGGGGGGAAGGAGACATATGTAATACTCTAAACAATAAAGAATTTAAGTTTAAAAAGTCACCTCCTGATACTTCAGGACACCAAAGGACTCTTCCCCATCTGATGTGTCTCCTTGTAGGAGTAATACCTTGGAATCTCCATAACATTTAGCATAAATTAAGCCAAAAGAACCAATTGCAGAATTAAAGGAAGACAAGGCAGAGAAACATAGAACTGGGAGCTAAGAGTTCAGGAGAGCCAGGGTTATGATCTTAGTTTTCCCAACAATTGACATTGCGATCCTGGGCCTCATTTTCCGCATCAGAAAAAGAGAGGGTGGATTTTCAGACCCCTTTACCTCTCAAGCGCCCCTATGTAAGTCTCAAATGCCCCTGTCATCCACCCTCGCACTTCCAATTATTTCCACTAGGTGGCATATGAATGCCAAATTGCCCAGACTACTTTCCAAATCAGAAATGATCTGAATTTAATTAATTTTTTAAAAAAACATAGCAAATATGAAATATGTGTAAGCTCTCTCTTTATAATTTTAACTTATCTTTATTCTTGAAAGTATTACAGATGTCCCCTTTTTCTTTATAATTTTTATACTCAAGTTTATTGAGTTTTTTTTTTTATTATTATTATTGATTTCAGAGAGGAAGGAAGAGGGAGAGATAGAAACATCCATGAAGAGAGAGAATCATTGATCAGCTGCCTCCTGCACGCCCCTGACAGGGTATCAAGCCAACAACTTGGGCATGTGCCCTTGACCAGAATGGAACCTGGGACCCTTCAATCTGCAGGCCAACGCTCTATCCACTGAGCCAAACTGGCTAGGGCTGTTGAAGTATTATTTACATATCATAAAATTCTTTCATTTTAAGTGCACAATTCAATGATTTTTAGTACATTTTACAGAGTTCGACAACCATGGAAATAATCCAATTTTAAAACATTTAATCAGACAAATAATATTGCTTTTATAAGCTATAATTTAAAAAAATTTAAATAT